TGCAACTTCGAGACGGGTCATGCCAAGTCAGACGCTCTCGCCTGAACTAATACTTTGTATAATTATCGCCTTGCTGATCTTCTTCAGCACATGATGTATGGAGTGCCCGTGCGAGCTAGCTGGGCCATTGAGTTTTATGGCCTTCGGAGCTGGATATGGAGCTGAAGTTGTGGGACAGAACACGCAGCTTTCTGCAAGCAGAAAGCAAGCAGAAAAGCAGCAACCTGCACTATCTCCGGTGTCCGATCATTAGCTAAATGCCATGCCAGCGTGGGAGGAGATGCTATAGGCCAGATACAAATCGGCAGAGGAAAACCCAACCGGGAAACAAAAGTCAGCGAGCAATTAGCGCTCGGCATAGCACTTAATTGAATCGCTGTTCTTTTTTTTATATTTTTTGTAGCCAGGAAGGACACAAAATCGTGAGAGTTTTTCCAGTGCAAATTAATAAACAGTTACGCATGCGCTGGGGAAAACTTGTTGTTGGCTGATTGCTGATTGCTACTCGCTTCACGGAGGCATCCATCACCTGTCCATGGAGCAGCTCCGTCCAGCAGCCGTATCCGTATCTGTATCTGTATCCGTATCTGAATCTGCATCGAAATCTCCCGTTGTTTGAGACTATTATTTCGGCAATTGCTGTAATCAATGTGCTGTTATCAATAACAGCTAGCGGTGTAATAATTGAATGGGTAGCGTTTGTGAAGACTGCTTCCAGCTCCACCCATCTTTGCAGATTGGGGCCATAAGAATTGGTCGAAAATTGCGCAAACAAAATTATGATATATTTACCTGCACTACTATCGCTAGCAGAGATGCTCTGCAGACTGTGATTAGCCGGAGTCAGGGCGAAAATACTGACAGACAGCCGGACAGATTGATTGTGGTACAAGAATTGGAAGGGCCTTCATTAAAGCCATGCAAAAAGGCCATACAAAAACCATCAAAACAAATCAAAGACAGGACACTTGAGCACTGTAGGGCCCAAGGAACATAGTGTATGGCAAAAAAGGAACTGTGGGAAAGAATGCCGGCAGAGTTTGACTCCTCCCTTAACTGCTTAATTACAGCGCCCAGGGCCAGACTCATTATTATCTATTAAGCAGTCAGGAATACTAGTTGCTAGTTGCTAGACCTGACAATCTGACAAACAGACGCTGACTCTCTAATGACATTGGGGAAGTTTCAAGGCAGAAAAGCCAGCCAACCAGCCATAAATATGCATATGAGATGGGCTCGAGGAGCTGGAGCTGAAAATGGAGATGGAGATGGAGCCCAAGCCTCTGCAATTACAATGTCCACATATAGACGGGCGGAATATTGCCCTAGCCTTGGTAATTGTTTCATATGCAAGAACAGCCTTCGACTGGTGCAATTTCATAGCATCCTCATCCGCATCCTCATCCTCATCCCCATCCTCATCTCCATTCTCGGGCATCATGACCATCGGGCATAATTTACCAAGAAGGAATCATGATGGTCTCCTCCAGTTTGGTAATAAAACACAGCGTCACGCCAAGGTAGCGCCCTAGCCATCTAGCCATCTAGCCTTCCTGCGCTTTTCTAGACTTTTTAGCCTTGCGCAACTGCGTCCAATTTGGCCGCAATCGAGGAGCAACAACAGCAGCAGAAGTAGCAGCAGCAGCTTCGATGTCTACATTGCTACCTTGTCGCCGACATAATCATGTTAAATTACTCGCAAATTCATTTGGTAGTTGAGGCCTCCACCGCCGCCTTCAGTTGCAGTTTGCATTGTTAGGGCGCCTGCTGATGTTGCTGGTTGCTGATGTTGCTGGTTGCTAGTTGCTAGTTGCTGGTTGCTGGTTGCTCGTTGCTGCTGCCTGGCGGCTGCTTTCAGCATTGATGCATGGACATGATATGGGTTCGAGTTTGGGTTTGGGGAGTCTGGGCTGCACATTCTGTGTGTGTTTGTGTGTGTGTGTGTTGTTAGCTTGTCGCTCACTCCATATTGATCTGTGCTCGGCATTATGGAAATTATGTGATCAAGGCCAGGGAAAATGGAAATTGTTTTCGCTAGAGGAGTCAGTCGTCTGGCAATTACAGATCGATTTATTGCTCCTCTGCCAAAGGCATTGTTTTTCTTCTCCTTTTTTTTTGTGCTGCATCTAATTAGAAGCCAGATAAACGCAGGCAGGCTGGGTGAGAAATTGCTTTAAGACCCAGTCGAAGAACTCCTCCTATTCCAACTCTTTTATTTTTTTCTAAAAAGAGGTGGGTGGGTGTGGTCAAGAAGTTGCTGATGTTGCAGCTGCAGAATAGCGGTAAAAAAAAAATAAAAAGCCAACAACAACGCATTTGGGGACAAACAACAAGCCGAGGCGAAGATTTGTGTTTATTTTGTAATCTTTGAAATATTTGTGGCATGGCAAATATTTTCACTCGCCTGCATTTCCGCATAGCCGTAGGCATGGGCATGGGTATGGGTATGAGTATGGGGAAAGTATGGGGCTATCCAGGGGGATATTTGGGAAAACTTCCACTTTTTTGCATCTGCCACAGGCGGCCAAGTCCACCTACAGCACTAAATAATAAAGCGTAACCAGCAAAAGGCGTGCCTAAGTTTGGGTTTGGGTTTGGGTTCGGGTCTTGGCCAGAGAATCTTCCATCCCAGGGCAACCAAGTTGAGGCCAGAGCACCTAGGCCTACTTATGTAAGTAAGGCTCTGCTGCCAGTGCTTGTGGCTTGTATTTTATGGTTTGTGTACACATTTTTGCACACATGCGCGACGGGTCATTCAACTTTTCTGTGGCAGAAATCCATGGCCATGGTCAGGTGGGTGGGGGATCACTAGTTGGAGAGGGAGCAGCCGGAGGAGCGGAGGCGGTGCGCGCGCGCTTTCCTAGAATAAACAAAATGCACGACTCTCGGCCAAGAGCCGCCAACAACTTTGGCTTTGGCTTTGGCCCCCTGCCGGGCTGCTTAAGCACACGAAGAAGTCGAGTTACTGCAGTAACACAGCGAAAAAAAACCTTTTCTTAAGCAAGATATTAAGAAATTATTGAAATCAAGGCTCGCCACATAATGGTATGCTATTATTGGTCAGAAAACCTCAAATAAAAGTTTAAATAGCCCACTACTTAAATGGTTTTTCAATCCAACGTCTTTTTAAAATCAACTACTGCTTATATGATTTTAATATCTTCCCTGAAAGTTAAAAAAGATTACAAAAAAAAGGGTTTGAATTGAAGAAAGTTAAAATAAAAGAGTCAAATTTGTGTAATTCATTACCAACTTTTTTTTTTAATGATTTTAAAATCATGTTTATAACTCAAAGAGATCACTCGAATTTCCTTTAAAAAAAATTTCTAATTGAAAAAAGTCAAAAGTCAACAATAAAATTTATGTAATTCCTGGCCAATTAGTGTTTAAATGGTTTACATGTCTTACCAGAAGTAAAAGAGATTACTAGGGCTTGCCTTTGGAAAATTTGTTTCAAAACGAATAAATCAAACCAAATCAGCCTTAAAGTAAACCACGAATTAATCGCTCAGTGTGCTCTTGCTGCATCCACATCAACACCAGCAACATGCAGCACCAGCAACACAACCAGCAGCAACTTGGCTGACTAACTGACTGACTGACTGACTGACTTCTGTTTGTTGGACCGACACGACCATGTTTGATGTGTACCATAGTCATCATTATCATCATCAACTTGGCCAGCCAGTAAGCCAGTCAGTAAGCCAAGCCAGCCAGGAACTCAGGCTGGTCCCCATCATCAGCCGATCGTAATGATGATGTATGTGTGGCTTGTTTTAGTTGTTGCACTTGCAGCAGCGCAGCAAAATTGTTGCATAAGTTTGCATTACAAGGCGGTGGCGGCAACTGGGGATTGTCTTGGTTGCTGGTTTTTCTTAGCAGTTGCTGCTGCTGGCCACATGATTGACTCCCATTGCCAAGTCCGCCGCCAAATTCTTCGCACTGCCAAGGCTCAAGTTCAGTCAAGTGTGGGGAGACTTACTTCCCTCATCCTTAACAGTTAATGTGTGAATTTTTATGCGTTGCCAGGCTCGGTCGTGTTGAGCTATGTTGTGTTGTGTTGTTCTTACCGCATAAAATGTAATTTACATCCGTTAGCTTCGAGTGAGCTGGAGATGGGAGAGGCTCCTTCATTTTCTGCTACTCTTCATCGAAATTGCTACTCTGATTTGCGGCCAAATTCATGCTTATGCACTTGCCGTTAGAATTTCCATTGTTGTTTTGTTGCCTGCAATTCGTTGCCAAATTGTATGGGTCAGGTTTTTTGCCTGTGCCTTCGATTTAAATGTGAATTCGGGATTCCAAAAGAGCCAAGTCATGAGGAACGAGGCCCCCCCCCAGGTATGCGGAAATTAAAATGTGAAATATTCGAGAAATTGTCAACCCTTCATCCAGACGCAATTAATCAAAGTTAAGGCCGCCAGCCGTAATTCATAAAACAGCAATTTGTCAAATCATTTCTGCAGCAACAAGTGGTAGAAGCAGCAGCAGCAGCAACTGGCCTTCCTGGCCAACTGTCAGCTTAGACAATTTGTTTGAGCCATTTTTCCAGGGGGAAAACAGTGTGGGACACACGCAGCCAGCTTTCTTGGCCATTTTTCCTGCTTCTAAAGTTGCTTGTTGTTGGCCGGTCCGCATTTTGATTATGTGGTAATAACACGTTGCATGCATACAAAGCCAAGATGTTGGTGCTGCTGCTGCTGCTGCAATTTGATGTTGCTCCTAGCTCTTGGCTTTTAGACCCTGTTATCACGCTGGACAAGGCTATCAAGGCTAAAAAGCAAAAACCTGGCCTACGCAGCAAAGCCCGGCCAATTGCAATTGCATGCTGGCACAATTAGAGTTCGGCATTCGCGGGCAATGGATAAATTAATTTATTATGGTCATAGCGATGGCTAACGGATATGTCCATCGTAAAATTCCCGCCATAATGGGGGAAACTGCAAGTATGGCATTTCATTAAATAATAAAGATTCCTTCTCTGCCTTTTTCCATTGCAGCCCCGGTCCAGGAATACACGGAGATCCAACAGTATTCGGGTAAGTCTGAGTCTGGGTCTTAGCCCACAAATCTGAGCGTGGAAGCAGATTAACGGACGGCCATAACCATCGACGAACAGGAGCCTAATAAAAGTGCATTCAGATCTTTTTGTTTTATGGTGATTACATTTTCGTTCGACCATGCGGAAGTGGACGATTTATGGCACCAGCCTATCCTGTTCGATATTAAATCCATCAACTTGATCGATTCGGAGCTTAATGGTTAATTATCTGCCCAATCGGCACAAGCCGCTAATCGAGGCCCAATTATCAAGCCAATTAATGTGAGGTGTGAAAATGACACATGCCGAAGACAAATGGAAACATAAAGAAAAAAGCGCTGCCTTCTTACGAGTTATGCTGGAAACGTGAGCGGGAGACTCAGACCCAAACAAAACGCCAGAGATTTCAATCAAAATACGATCTAGCCAGTTCACAGTAGCTTAACGTGTTAATGATGTGAAATTTATAGCGGGTGGACGTCACTAAATTAGGCAGCAAGTCAGAAACACTGGACATACGACGTGCGCATAAATTTTAAGACTCAACACGACGACGACAACGACAACGACGACAGTTGACTTTTGTTTAACGACACTGATGAGCAATAAAATTTGTCTATAGCTGCACGTATTATGACAGCCGACTGGCGCTAAGCCCCGATTTATGGCCCGAACGACACAGTAGCACACATTGCAGGGGAAATCACATAAAAACATGCATATAGATGCCCCGCTTGCATAACTAATGCCTGGAATTTATTAGCCAGAAGATGGGTTGTCATTGTCTGGGGCCTTTCGGTTCCCAGAGGCAGCGTCCCAGATTTCTAGTTCTTCACTCTCGAACTCTCCTATTCTTTCCTATTCTTTCAGAGGGCTGCTACTACAACTATGCACACTATCAAGAGGGCGACCGCATCATGACCAATGAGCCGTGCCTGAACTGCACCTGCCACAACCGCATGCTGATGTGCTACCTGCGCGTCTGCCCCTTCACCAAGCCCATTGGCCACGACTGCATCGTGGAGAAGCGGGAGGACCAGTGCTGTCCCATCATCACCTGCCCAGAAGGTGAGTTAGCAGAGGAGTGCGTTCTCTCAAGACCTAACCACTAATTGTTCTCTTTCTAATCCAGTGCCAGTGGATGTGCCCTATCATTCCCCCGAACCCGGTACCGAGCTGAGCATCCCCGAGAAGTTCGGCTGCAGCATCGAGGAGAAGTTTTACCCGGAGGGCGCCCAGGTGCCATCGAACCCCAACAAGCCATGCGAACTGTGCTACTGCATCAACAACCAGACCAAGTGCGTCATGCAGGAGTGCACTCTGCACGTGGACGGCTGTCTGCCCATCTACAACAAGGGATCCTGTTGCCCAGTGCGCTATAGCTGCGGTAAGTTATTAAGTTTAAAATTTAAAGCTCATTCTTACCTTTTTTAAATCATTAGGCTAATTAAAAAAAATGTTCTTTACTCACAAATTACATTTCCTTTTGCAGACCATGAGAACGAGCTGGACTTTGTGGAGCAGTCGACCACCACCACAACGACCACTGTGCGCCCTACAACTGGATTCATCCTGGAAAGCACCATGACACCACCAACCACCACCGACTGCATCCACGATGGCGAGGTATACGCTGATGGAGCCTCGCTGAGGGGTAAGAATGCCTGCGAGCACTGCTACTGCATGCGCGGAGACATCGTGTGCGCCGTTCAGGAATGCGAGATGCCCATGATAGGGGCCGATGGAAAGTCCTGTCAAGCAATGCCAGCTGCCGAGGGCCAGTGCTGCCCGAGCAATTATGTCTGCAAGGACGATAGTGCCACCACCGAAATTATTGAGGTCACCACAGCGGAGAGTGTTACTTCGGTGCCATCCAAGGGTATCCATGCTGAGATTCCCAAGGAGGATGTTGATCTGCAGGAGCACATTGATGACGAGGAGAAAAATCAGGATAAGGATAAGGACAGCGCTACCGATGTTCCATCCGTGGAGCTGGGCAGCGGTGAGATTGAGGACGAAGACGAGGAGGAGAAGGTTAAGGCCACCACGGTTGCTCCAGTGCACGTCACGGACGAAAAGGACTTCTCCTTCGAGCCCGAATCCTCTACTGCTGGCATTGCCTCCGATTCCAGGATCGATGTGCCATCGTCCACCGAGGAACCCAAGGAACCGTCCACCGAAGCCATCGCCGAGGAGGAGATTCTCAAGATTGTCACCACTCCAGAACCCGAGGGTAGCGGCGAAGAGGATGATTCCAAGCCTGCTCAGATTCCCGAGCAGGAAGTCACTGAGGATGAACTCATCGAGGTCAGCACTTCCGCTCCAGCCAAGGCCAGTCCGGAGGAGGAAGTGGTTAAGGCCACCACCTCGGCGCCAACGGAAGAAGAGGACGTCGCTAAGCCCACGCCAGCCGGAGAGCCTTCTCTGGAGGAAGGAAGCGGTGAAGAAGAGAAGGATGTCAAGGTCACAGCAGCTCCAGAGGAAACTCAAGAGGAGGCGAAGCCCACTACCGCTCCAGTGGCAAGCGACGAAAAGGAGGAGGAACTCAAGCCCGCCGAGGGAAGCGGTGAAGAAGAGCAGGCAATCAAACCCACTGTGGCTCCAGAGGAAAGCGCTGAGGAGGACAGCGAAGTCGAATCCACTTCAGCTCCGACGGCAAGCGATGAAACTGAACAGGAAGCCACTTCAGCTCCAGAGGAGAGTAAGGAGCAAGAGGCAGACAAGCCCACTCCAGTTCCGTCAGCCACCGATGATGTGGAACCAGCGAAGCCCACTGAATCCCAAGAGGAAGCCAGCAGTGAGGGTGAAGAGGACATCGTCAAGGGCACCACTCCTGCAGGAGAAGCAAGCAGTGAGATTGAAGAGGAGATTGTCAAGGAAACCACACCTGCCGAAGAAGCCAGCAGTGAGGGAGAAGAGGAGATCGTCAAGGAAACCACTCCTGCCGGAGAAGAAATCATCAAGGGAACCACTCCGGCCGCAGAATCCAGCAGCGAAGCTGAAGAGGAGATCGTCAAGGGTACCACTCCTGCCGGAGAATCTAGCAGCGAAGCTGAAGAGGAAATCGTCAAGGGAACCACACCGGCCGGAGAAGCCAGCAGCGAAGCCGAAGAAGAGATCATCAAGGCAACCACTCCTGCCGGAGAAGTCAGCGGCGAAGAGGAGATCGTTAAGGCTACCACTTCAGCTCCTAAAACCGGAGATGAAACTGAGATGGAACCAGATACCGCCACGGATGCTTCAGTGGAAGAAGTCGAGGACTTGGCCAAACCAACAACGCCATTTGCTGAGACCGTGGAAGAAGCCATTGCTGGAACACCCATTCCAACTGAAGATGTCAGTGCTGAAGAGGAGATTGTTAAGGCCACAACACCAAAGACCTTGGGAGAGCAGCCCCCAGCTGCTGAGGACTCTACCGAGTTGCCAGTGGAAGAGGGAGATCTGCCCAGCTCGACAGGTGCCCCAACAATGGCCTCCTCGACCGAAGGTGTCCAGGATACTTCAGTTGCACCTGCACGAGCTGGCGATAAGGACGAAGCCGGAGTTACCGAACCCACTGCCGAGAAAGATGACAAAGAATCCGGAGAGGTCGAAGAGGATGCCACAGATCTGCCAGTCTATGATGCTGTCACGAGCACAACTGCCAAGACCACAACCACTGAGAAGACCGAAGAGGAGTCCTCAACTGAAGCAGCCGAAATCGAGACCTCCACTAGTGCACCCGTTGACAAACAGGAGGTGCCAGACAAGGATCAGAAGGATGAGGATGTTGCGCAAACAAGCACTGAACTGCCGGCTAAATCTGACATTGTGCCTTCCAGTCAGCCAGTCAGTCAGACCAGTGACGAAGCCGCCACAGATAAGCCAACCTCCGTTTACCTGCCACCTGCCGGAGATAAGGATTCTACCGAAGATGAGCCCACTGCGACTGAACCCTCTGTCCAAGAAGAGGAGCCATCCAAACCAGTGCCCCAGCATATTCCATCCAGCAGTCCTGCCACAGTTGACAATCGCAACGACTTCGAGGAGTCAGAGAAGACAACCCAGCCGCCTAGTAGCGAGGATCAGCCCTTGCCCGCCATGGATTTGCCCGCCGTCATTCCAGGCGAAGGTGACTGCCTGGTGGAGGGTAAGACCTATGCCAACAACACCATTGTACCCGCCACCGCTCCCTGCGATGTGTCCTGCAGATGTGTCAGCAGCCTCGTGGCCTGCCAACAGATGGAGTGCAAGTTGCCCGAGAACCTGGAGAAATGCACCGTGGCTGCCGATCTTGTGGATGGTTGTTGTCCCACTTACAACTGCGATGAGAGCATTGAAAGCGTCGAGAAAGAGCAGGACTCCACTGCCAAACCCGACGACAAGATCGATGAGGATGTCTCTGAGATCAGCACCGAGGAAATTCCCAAGGACGTTATCATGCCTACTGGCATTACTGAACAGCCTCTTTCTCATGTCAAGCCCGATGAAGAAGAGATCCAGCCAGTGACTACAGTTCCTATCCAGGTTGCTGAATCTACCACTGCTAGGACTGATAAGAAACCAGTTGACGAATCCGAGGAGGTTCAAAAACCAGTTGAAACCTCCACTGAAACCGTTGAGGATGAGAAACCAATTGATGAATCCGAGGAGGACAAGAAACCAGTTGATGAATCCAAGGATAAGAAACCCGTTGATAAGGAACCCAAGCCCGAGGACGAGAAGAAGACAGACGATGATTTCGTGGCGGCCACGGAGCAGCCAGAGGCTTCAACTCCATCTCAATTTGCCGACGATGCCGAGAAGGAGACTGAAGACAAACTGGCCACCACAGTTGCTCCCATTGAAGAAACACATGAGCCGGTCGATGAAAAGATTCCTGCTGAACCAGAGCCAATTCCTGATGATGAAGTCCTTGCCAGTACTGCTCAACCCGAGAAGGAGACGCCAGAGCCCTCCACTGAACTGCCAACTTCTGATACCGACAAGAAAGCAGAGGCGGAGGAACCAGCTCCAGCTACCCAGGCTCCAGAATCCGACAAGGTTCCCGAAGTTTCGACCAGTGCTCCAGCTGGAGATGAGATTGAAGGATCTGATAAACTCACAACCGTTTCTCCATCGAAGGTTGCTGTTCCTGACGAAAAGGAAACTGCTGGTAATGAAGATATCGTTCCTGCCACCTCTGTGCCTATTGAAAGTGAAATTAGTACTGATAAGCCAGCCGAGCACGGACATAAACTACCCACACAGCCAGAGGAGAAACCAGTCGAGGAAGAGTCCTCTACTGAGACTGATATTAGCACTGAAGCAAGTGTTGAGGGTGAAAAGGAAACCGCTGATGAGACTTCGGAGTCCGACAATGAAATCGAGGGCGATGCTACTCCTGCTCCCGCTTCTGCTCCTGCCCCTGAATCTGCTGATGAGGACAAGACTCCAAGCACCGAGCAAACTGTCGAGGCCGAAAAGGTCACCACCGTTGCCCCATCTGCTGGCGATGAAGAGGAGGAACTTCCTATTGCAATCACAACCCCTGCTCCAACGAAGGATGAAATTGAGCCGAAACCAGTCGAAGGTGAACAGAAACCAGAGAGCCCAGTTGAAGATATACAAAAGCCCATTGAAGACGAGTCATCTACAGCTACTTCAGCTGAAAATGAGATCGAGCCTGACACCGATCGTGAAACCACTGCTGCTCCTACTAAGGAAGAGTCTGTTGAACCCTCCACTGGAGCTCCTGCCTCTGATGAGAGCAAGGAAATCCTTGAATCAGAAGTTCCCACAACTGTGGCTCCTGCTGGTGAAAAGATTCCTTCAAGTAGTATCACTCCCGATGAGGAACCCACTGCCACTTCTGCTCCTACTGCCAAGCCGGACGAAGATGTAGAAAAGGAAACCGTAACTGAAGCGCCTACACCCGTTACTGATTCCTCTGAGGAACAAGATAAGGAAATATCCACGGATCAGACGCCATCTCAGGTGGCCGAAGAAAAACCTGAAGCTCCCGCCAAGACTCCAGAGGAGGAAACCACTGAAACTACAGCACCAACGTCCGTTGATGAGGTGCCCGTTGTCCAGAGACTGCCCGAAGAGGTACTTGCTGAGATTCCGCAGTCCTCCACTGAAGCCGATATTGCAAAGGAAGACGAAACCAGTACTGCTCCAAGCATTGGTGAGAAGGAACCTGCTGTCACCTCTATTCCATCAGTTGAAATCGATCAGGAAGCCACCACTGTTGCGCCTATCTCTGAGAAGGATGAAAGGCCAACTGAGGAGGAGAAACCAACTGGAGAAAAGAAACCTACTGAGGAGGAGAAACCAACTAGAGAAGAGAAACCAACGGAGGAAGAAAAACCAACTGGAGAAAAGAAACTTGCTGAGGAGGACAAACCAACTGGAGAAGAGCCATCTGAAGAAGAGAAGCCCACAGAACAGGAGATATCAACTGAGGCACCAGTCAAGATTACTACACCAGAAGATAAGCTTGAAACCCAGGCTGCATCTACTGATGCTCCCGAGGAAGGATCTTCAGAATCGGTCGAAGAAGTCGCGTCATCGACTGAAGCAACAGCTGATGAGCAGCCCGAAGACAAACAGCCCTCATCCACGACACAGGCACCAGTTGAAAAGATTCCCGAAATCTCTACCGAACTGCCAGCTGAACCAACCACTGCTCCCGTTGCCGCAGATGAAGAGGCTTCCTCTGCGTCCAGTGAAGAAGACGAGAGTCCAGAGGTCACTACTGCCTCTCCTGCAGGAGTTGATGACACCAAGGAAGTGGCACCATCTTCCACCGAGAGGGCACCAGACTCTGAAGACAAGCTACCCGTGGACGAAAAGGAGAAACCTGAGCCTGCAACCCAAGTTCCCGACCTGGCTGCTGGTGGAGATACCGAAAAGGAGGAAGATGTTACTCCATCTGAGGAGGAGGGAGATGAAATCAAACCAACAATCGCCCCTGCTGCTGAAAGTCCCAAGCCTTCCGAAAAGGAACCCGCACTGGATGAACAAGAAGTGGAGTCCACAACTAAGCCTAAATCTGATGAACAACCCATTGATGAGACTGTATCCGCCACTTCTGGACCCATCGATGACTCTTCCACATCTGGTCCTGCCAAGGAGGAGTCCAGCACCCAATCTCAGGAGAAGGAAGATATTGATATCACTACCGATGCTAGTCCAGCCTTGCCTGCTGTCCAGGAAGATGACTTAAAGGGTGCCGTCACTGTGCAACCAATTGTCGATGATAAGGAAGTTTTTGCTCCTCAGGACGGTTCCAAGACCAGCATTGATGTGTCCACCGATTCTCCCATTGCCGAAGAGGATGAGGCTCCCAGCACAGTTTCTCCTGCATCGCCAGCTGCTGACTCCACTGCTGATGCTACCACTCCTTCAGTGGATCTTCCTTCTGCCGAGGAGATCGACAAGAAGCCCATGGAAGAAGTCATGTCCCAGACTATTGCCCCGCATGCCGCCGATGAGTCTGCGTCCACATCCACCGAGGACGAAGACCAGTCTCCTATTACTGTGTCTCCTCAGGATGCTGACAAGACTCCAGTTACCGTGGCTCCCCAGGACGCTGATAAGACTCCAATCACAGAAGCTCCCCAGGATGCTGATAAGACTCCAAGCTCAGAGGCTCCCCAGGATGCTGATAAGACTCCAAGCCCAGAGACTCCAAAGGATTCTGATAAGACTCCAAGCTCAGAGGTTCCCCAGGATGCTGATAAAACTTCAAGCTCAGAGGCTCCCCAGGATGCTACTGAATCTCCTCAAGATGCAGATAGGATTCCAGTCACAGTGGCTTCTCAGGCTGCTGACGAAATTACGGTTTCAGTCACTGCTGCTCCTTTGGATGAAGAAAAGATTTCAGCGACAGCAGCTCCCTTGGATGAAGAGAAGATTCCAGCCACTGCAGCTCCTATGGATGATGAAAAGATTCCTGCTACAGTTGCTCCAGTTGCTTCCGATGTGGAGCCAAGCAGCGAGCAGCCTTCTGCTGCTGAGGATGTTGGTGAAGAGAGCACCGAACCAGCTGTCGATGATGCCGAAGATACTACTGATGAGCCCAAGGCTGATGCCAAACTGAAGCCACCCACTCCGGCTCCTGCCGTTCCATCCGAATCTCCAGTCACAGAGGCGGAGATTGTGCCCGAAACTGCGGCTCCAGAAATGGAAAAGGAGGAAGTGCCAGAGAAGGCCACGGAACAACCAGAACTGGAGGAGGAGGTTCCAGAAAAACCCACAGAACAACAAGAACCTGAGAAGGAGGTGCCTGAGAAGACCACGGAACAGCCAGAGGCGGATAGCGAGAAGACCACTCCGGAGCCAGTAGTGAAGCCTAGCTTGGATTCCACCGAGGAGGGTGAAGAGTCCGTTGAGTCTGAGGAGGAGCATGCTCCAGTTACGGAAGCAGCTGACAAGGAGGAAGAGAGCAAGGAGACCGAGGAAGAGCCTGAAGTACCCGCCGTTGTCTCTGAGATTACTAAGCCAAGTGAAGAGGCTGTCACCACCAGCACTGTGCACCCACTGTTCTCCCACCTGCCCAGTAGTACCACTCAAAAGCCAGCCATCGATGACCGAGTGGGCGAGGAGACTGATGAAGAGAACACCACCGAGAAATTAAGTAGTTCCAGCACCAGCAGCACCACCACAGAAGCTCCAGCGACCACGACGACGGTGGCCAGCCAACAGCAACAGCCCATCACTCCACCGCCCTACGGCCACGGCCACGCCCCCGAGTACGAGGACGAGTACGATGAGGAGGAGGTCTTCGGACCCGGAACTTGCCGCTATGCCGGCAAGCTGTACGTGTCCGCCCAGCAGATTCCACGTGACGATCCATGCGACTTCTGCTTCTGCTTCCGAAGCGACATCATCTGCCTGCAGCAATCGTGTCCGCCGCCAATCGCCGGCTGCCACGAGGAGCCCATCTCCGGCTTCTGCTGTCCGCGCTACGAGTGCCCTGTTTCGATGGCCGCCGTGCTGAACATCACCACGAGCACGACCACCACCAGCACCACCCTGCCGCCCCACTTCCTGCACTACTCGCACGGCGAGGCGGTGAAGCACACCGGCTGCCTGATCAACGGTCGATCCTACCGCGTGGGCGAGCAGATCGAGTCCACCAGCGGACCCTGCATCAGCTGCACGTAAGTACAAGCAAAGGAAACTAGCAGGGCTTGAAAATGATTCAATGCTTTGACAGCGCTGTTGCTGTGCAAGCAAAGTAATATCTGCGAAAGCGGAAGTATTGCTTCCGATTTTGGACAGTAAAGCAACACCCGACTGTTCACTCAAATAGTCGAAGCAAAAGCATGCTTTCACAGCAAAGAAAAGCAAACAATGCATTATTTTTAATAAACGTTGTTTGGCTTTTGCTTTGCTATCATTAATGAAGCCTTGCTTCTAAAGTCGAAGCAAAAGCATGCTTTCACTGTACAGCCAAAAAAAATAATGCATTTTTTGTAATGTGCTTTGCTTGCATTTAAAAAATTGGTCGAGCACAGATGAAGGTGATTTTCAAACCCTGCTATAAAGAACACCAAGTCAACTGATTCAACATTAACCTGGATATCTTTTACCCATTTCAGTTGCGGCGGCGACGGCAAGATGAAGTGCGATCCCCAGCAGTGCGTCCCCGAACCCACCATGCAGCAGGTGATGGCGGCCGTGGTGTCGGGACGCAAGAGATGAACCACCAGCCATGCTCACTAAATATAATTTAACTAATTCTTAAGCACTGCAGACAACAATCACGAACCGACGAACCACAACCAGAACCAGAACCAGAATCAACCAGACCAGATAGCACCACTCGCCAACTAGCAGCAATAGCAATAGAGATCACTAATATAGCCAGAAACCAGAAACAGAATCTCGAAATCGGAATCGGAATAGAATAGGTGCCAAAAGCAATAGTTAACCAGGACCAGATGCAATAGTGTTAATTTTGGGTTTGCCGACACACATTCGCACTCTTTCAATTGGATTACGACCAGCCCACTTGTTTCGGATTAGGTTACGGTGACGAAGCAACCAGTGATATTGTACTGTATACATAGTATAGGTGCAATTAATTTAGACGCGCTCACTTAAAACGATTACTTATTTGTATGTGTACTAGTATTTTGGGCTTGTGACCCTAGTGACAGGACATATAGCCAACAGCATATAGCAGCCGACGTAGCGCGTGCCTTGTAAGGTCGTTCATTGTGTGTCCGCCGTGCCCGCCATACAATCGCTTTCAGGAGACTCTCAATCAAGCACCCAAACACAAACACCACATATGTATAGCGAATATATTCCGGATCCGGATCAACCGCAATCAATGGCGTTACGATGCCACGGCATTCGGCCGCCGGACCGGATTCTACACTTGCTAATCTGTATCCGTCCGGCGGCTCACTCTTCTCCAATGCGCTTTTATAGTATTTTAGTCACCTTATTTTAAACATTATTATTTTTGTGTATAATTGTTGCTTCTAGTCTTCTTTTGTTGCAAGAGCAACGGAATCCGCCTGTAACACGCGCACACAACCCGATTGATCGATTTGTAATCAAATCAGATCAGATTAGATCAAATCGGATCGGATCGGACCAGTTGAATATCAAATTGAGTTGAGTTGAGTTGAGAAACTGTATCTTCTATGAACTATTCCAAGCTTTTATACTTTTATATACAAAAAATACGTGTAGAGTGGAGAAACGAACGAACTAGTTTTTATAGCAATTTTACAAACGAACGCACAAATTGCATAGTTTTTAACGGATTAAATTTGTACTTTGCCCGCAGCACCTCGAAATGAAAATGAGGTGGACAAACCGTGAAGTCTACATAGAATTTTTAGATCAACTGAAACGGAAACTAAAAATACGGAACCGAAAGAAGGAACACACTGTTCGGCTATGGCTACTGCTCGACTGACTGAAAATCACCCAGATCGGGAAGGAGTTAACTTTGTAAACTATTTTTTTTTAACGCCAGCTGCCGCGCTGGCTATTATACTTTATTAGAACGCAACGCCCGGATTTTCAGTCACTTGAGCTATAGCAATACGCCGTAAACTTGAAGCGTCTCATCCACGCCGAATGAATACGAACATCAATTAGATTTATATAATCTCTAAATATAGTTGTAGCCCTAAGTATTTAATTTTAAAAATAAATAAATAAATTTTAATTTAGATCTTATTTATTTGATATGTCTTTTAAGAACAGCTCTTGTGTTTCCATACCTTATCATAATTTATATGCAGCTATTCTTTGTAATCTAATAAATAAATACAACGCTTTTTATTGAAATGTATAACGGGAATATTTTTTTGAAGCCAAATGAGATAGATTATGGGTACTATTTATTTTGTAAGTAATTGCTATCGAAAGTTAACTAATTAAAGGTAATAAACGAAATGAAGGGGCAAAACATTTTTTTGGAAAATATACAATGAAATAGCTTTTTGCTTTACATAAATCTAATCCAATATTTTTTAGCCAGAAGTTATTGATCCACCCCATTTACCACTTCGCTGCTGGGTAAAAGACTTCAGTTTATAGAGCCTAGCTATAATTGCTTCATTTTTCTTTTTAAAACCCAGTTTTTAATATATCCCATTTCGTTGTCATTTTACGTTTTAACTGGTATTTTTAACGACTCCTGCTCAACGAAATATTTATGTAGGAAGTTCATCAATCAGAAATCTTTTATATTTTGGATAAATAAATGTGTTTTATAAACGTATTTTGAAAAAACGTTTCTTTTTACTCACCATACTGTATAAGACTTTGATGTTTCCATTCTGCAATATCCCAATAATCTTTTGTACATGATTGGTTCGTGTGGTATTTTTAAACAGTCCACCAACGTTCACACTTCTAGCCGGCTGCCAATAAGTGTTTGATATTTTCCGCTTATGGCCTGAACTCATTTAAACCACTCGACTTCTCTATATATAGGCTCCTCCAAATGGTGAATATATCCACCATAAACTGGCTCTTCGTCTGCGGCCTGTCCTTCTGCCTGGGCGGGATTGCGGTGCTCAGTTTTATGCCCCTGGGCTCGGGTGCGTATGCGAAATATGAAGACCCGGCTAAAAATACTGACCAGCCATGGCTCTTTTTATAGACTGTGTCTGTCCGTTGTCCAATCCCCTGGCCAAGCTGACGGGCGCCGGAGGAGGAGTTGCTGTGCAAAAGGAGCCCTTGGCGGAAAAGCTCCACCAGCATCCCCATGACCATGGTGCCTCCGCGCACAAGATGGCCCTGCTGGTTCCCTTCCGGGATCGATTCGAGGAGCTCCTCCAGTTCGTGCCCCACATGACCGCCTTCCTGCGGCGCCAGGGCGTGGCGCATCACATCTTCGTGCTGAACCAGATGGACAGGTTCCGCTTCAATCGCGCCTCACTTATCAACGTGGGCTTTCAATTTGCCAGCGATGTGTATGACTACATAGCCATGCACGATGTGGATCTGCTGCCCTTGAATGACAATCTGCATTACGAGTATCCCAGCAGTCTGGGCCCGCTCCACATTGCCGGACCCAAGCTGCATCCGAAGTACCACTACGAGAACTTCGTGGGTGGCATACTGCTGGTGCGGCGCGAGCACTTTCAGCAGATGAACGGCATGTCCAACCAGTACTGGGGCTGGGGACTGGAGGACGATGAGTTCTTCGTGCGGATCCGGGATGCAGGACTGCAGGTGACGCGGCCACAGAACATTAAGACTGGCACTAACGATACATTTAGGTGAGAATAGATCTCCAGTAAATAGTATGACAGGTGTATTTACTACTATTATGCCTTCAGTCATATCCACAACCGCCATCATCGCAAGCGGGACACTCAGAAGTGCTTCAACCAGAAGGAGATGACCCGCAAGCGGGACCACAAGACGGGCCTGGACAATGTCAAGTACAAAATACTCAAGGTGCACGAAATGATCGTTGACAAGGTGCCGGTGACCATCCTCAACATTTTGCTCGATTGTGATCTTAATAAAACGCCGTGGTGCGACTGCTCCGGAACGGCAGCAGTTGCCTCGGCGGTACAAACCTGATGAATATGGGTTGTGTGTTAAACCAAAGATCCTATGTTTATTTCGCTATATATGTGTTGTGTGTTTTGCAAATGGGCTAGTGCTAGTACACGTGAACCATGCCGTAGAGGAATGTCCAGAAGAGCACGTAGGTGCAAAGGCCGCCCATGAACTGGTTGGTCAGCAGATTTCTGCGGTTGATGAAGAACTTGCGCCACTGGGTTCCCGACTTGAGGAGCACCAGGATCCAGAGCACGAACACGGACAGGAAGTAGAACAGGAAGCCCAGGGTTCCGCTCAGTCCAAGAATACCTGCAAATTGGGGGGAAGTTAATTCAGCTGACCCGATCACAAATTAAGTCCAATTACCAGCAGCGCAGCCCGAAATGGCGGCCATCGATGTCCGGCAATACTCCACGGCGGATATGTTGTTCCGGATGGCGCCCTCGCTGTACGCGATAATCTCTCCCGTCTTGGACTGTGTGGTCTTCACTCGGTTCATTTTAATTGATTAATTTTTATTTTCTAGCAAAATTTACTCCGGCTGCGAATTCCGATAGTTATATCGATAGGCAGTGTCGATGACCGATAAATGCTCACTGGAAAAAAAGCCACCAATATTTCGTTGCAATGTTAATTAAATTCATTTGAAGTAAACTAGGAAACAAGGAATTTTTTAACTAATTTTAAAAACGTTTTACTTCATGGTTATAGAATGCTGAAATTTGAATTTGAATTTACAACCATGAGACCCAAAATATACACACCTTGAAAATAAATATTATAACAATGGGGATTAGGGGCTTATTGTATTATTAAGCATTTTGAAGGGAAAAGTTGCTTAAATGCTAGTTATTAAAAAACGTAATTTTCCCAAACCAAATAGATTTTATGTTATTAAATATTTTTATATTTTATATTTGTTGTTTTGGTCAGTGCATGTGAGCTCACACTTCCGCTGAATGGCTCACAATTGCGTTTTGCCATTCGCCCGGGCTCGTGGCTTGTTGTTATTGGGATTGGGCTGGAGAGCTCGGACGGACAGCAATTCATTAAAATATGTGGTGATAACGCGATCGGCCGAATTCTGCGTGCGATTCGTGCGTTTGACGTGGGTACAAACTAACTGACTGCTATGCTGCCGCACCCGCACTTGTTTTGATTCCACGGAGCTCCTGATCCATCACAAACCAAGCCACCTACCACCCAGTGCCTCCACCATCTCCTCTGCCAGCTGCTCCACACCAGTAGGGCAATTAAAAAATCAATCAGAGGGCCCACTAATTGAAAGCTGCCCCCGCAGCACTCGACATGTCGCCGCCGAAGAACTGTGCGGTGTGCGGGGACAAGGCGCTGGGCTACAACTTCAATGCGGTCACCTGCGAGAGCTGCAAGGCCTTTTTCCGCCGCAACGCGCTGGCCAAGAAGCAGTTCACCTGCCCCTTTAACCAAAACTGCGACATCACTGTGGTCACCCGCCGCTTCTGCCAGAAATGCCGCCTGCGCAAGTGCCTGGACATCGGAATGAAGAGCGAGAACATCATGTCCGAGGAGGACAAGCTGATCAAACGGCGCAAGATCGAGACGAACCGGGCCAAGCGGCGCCTTATGGAGAACGGGACAGATGGCGGTGAGGGTGACGACGCAGATGACCACAAGGCGCCTGCAGACAGCAGCAGCAGCAATTTGGAGCTCTACTCTGGCTCGCAGGACTCGCAGAGCTGCGGCTCAGCGGACAGTGGCGCAAACAATTGTTCCAGCGGAGGACACTCAGCGAGCTCCACACAGGTCAATCCGCTGCAGATGACGGCCGAGAAGATCGTCGACCAGATCGTATCCGATCCGGATAGGGCCTCGCAGGCCATCAACCGGCTGATGCGCACCCAGAAGGAGGCTATTTCGGTGATGGAGAAGGTGATCAGCTCGCAAAAGGACGCTTTGAGGCTGGTGTCTCACTTGATCGACTACCCAGGTGGGTGCTCCACTTGGCCTCCTCTGTTTAACCCCTCTGATCTTTGTTAATTTTGTTGCAGGCGACGCCCTTAAGATCATCAGCAAGTTTATGAACTCGCCCTTTAATGCGCTGACAGGTAAGTCTACTCCAATTATAGTTGCACAACCTATTAATGGTTTCTTATTTAATAGTATTCACAAAATTTATGAGCAGTCCAACGGACGGCGTGGAGATCATCTCGAAGATTGTGGACTCGCCGGCAGATGTAGTGGAGTTCATGCAGAACCTGATGCACTCGCCGGAGGATGCCATAGACATAATGAATAAGTTTATGAACACTCCGGCCGAGGCACTGCGCATCTTGAACCGCATCCTAAGCGGCGGCGGAGCTAATGCAGCCCAGCTGGCTGCAGCGGACCGCAAGCCACTGCTGCTGGACACCAAGGAGCCAACGGTGAGGCCTCCTCCGCCGGCGGAGCGGGTGGACACCGTCATCCAGAGCATGCTGGTCAATAGAAGCCCGCCCATTTCGCCACATGACGGCGCCGTGGACCTGCAGTACCAGCACTCGCCAGGTGCCATGGAGCAGCCCAGCACAAGCTCGAGCAGTCACCCCTTGCCTTATCTAGCCAACTCGCCGGACTTCGACCTGAAGACCTTCATGCAGACCAACTACAACGACGAGCCCAGCCTGGACAGCGACTTCAGCATCAACTCGATCGAGTCCGTGCTGTCGGAGGTGATCCGCATTGAGTACCAGGCCTTCAACAGCCTGCAGCACTCGGCCTCGCGGGTCAAGGAGGAGACGTCCTACATGACGAACGGCCATGGCGGCTGCAATGCTGCCGGAAATGCCAGCCAGCAGCGGCACCTGCAACAGCCCATCTGCGCCCCATCCAGTCTGCAAATGGACCGCGAACTGAACGAGGCAGAGCAGAATAAGCTGCGGGAGTTGCGTGTGGCCTGCGAGGCTCTCTACGATCCCGTGGACGAAGACCTCAGCGCCCTGATGATGGGCGACGATCGCATTAAGGTAAGGCAACCTAGCCAACGGCATAAGCCCATCGTTCTTTCGTTTGTAGCTCCAACACCACCGGCTTATCTAATCGCAGTGTATGTACTTTCGGCACCTGGCAGTTTGTGGCCAATCGGTGATTCAGTATGCGTATCTTGATGATGGCCTGTGGGCCAGTGTGTCTCAGCCAGCCATTTCTGTGGTCCCAGCAATGCGTCTCACCCAAATGTAAACACCAGTTTCAATGGGGTGACCAAGAGTCTTGGTTCAGGAAAAAAGTTTATAGAACTTCATAAGTCAATGTTCCTTGTGGTTGAAATGGAAATGTTTCAGCATTTTAGGTCACTTTTCGGTGTGCCTTTATTCGAATTTTTATGCAACTTAACTTTGTTTACCTAAATTGACCTTAAACTATGAACCTAGACTTATTTATACCATTTTGTTTTAATGTGTCAACATTTATACTAGACCTGGGGAAATGTTTTATAGTTATCCAAACGTGACTCATTCGTAATTCGCCGAATTGTCGTCTAATAAATCGAGCCACCCTAGCTTTTAGGCAATCAGAGCGTCTGGTCTGCCAAGAGCAGGCCAGACAATGGCTTTATCAGCCTCTGGCTGTGCCAATTGTGACACTATCAACCATTATCAAGAGCGCCAGCAGGCGCTCATGAGCCTCCAACCGTCGATTTGGCCGTTTATTGTCGCCATAGACTGTTCACCGTTTGCGCCCCATCGCAATTAGCACATTTCGGTATTGTTAATTAGGAAAAACGATATAGATTTGACGGAATATGGAGCATAGCCAGGTGTTGGGCGCTATGATAAGCGGTGCTCGATTGAGTCACCTTCCAGGGAGAAGCCTTTACGATAGTGCCGATAATAGTAATGGCCACCTGTGTTTGTTTTGTCAACCTCACAGCCCGACGATACTCGCCACAACCCAAAGCTCTTGCAGCTGATCAATCTGACGGCGGTGGCCATCAAGCGGCTTATCAAGATGGCCAAAAAGATTACAGCATTCCGTGACATGTGCCAGGAGGACCAGGTGGCCCTGCTCAAAGGTGGCTGCACAGAAATGATGATAATGCGCTCGGCCATGATTTACGACGACGATCGCGACGCCTGGAAGGTATTTTTCGATGAGAAGTCTGGTCATTCGATTGGGTTAATCATAATCTGATGTGATATGTGATTTACAGGTACCCCACACCAAAGAGAACATGGGCAACATACGCACTGACCTGCTCAAGTTCGCCGAGGGCAATATCTACGAAGAGCACCAGAAGTTCATCACCACATTCGACGAAAAGTGGCGCATGGACGAGAACATTATCCTGATCATGTGCGCCATTGTCCTGTTTACCTCGGCTCGGTCACGAGTGATACACAAAGACGTGATTAGATTGGAACAGGTATGCGAATAGTCTTTCCTTTTTGCTTACATTTAAAAAACGAACAAATTTACCCACAGAATTCCTACTATTATCTTCTGCGAAGATATCTGGAGAGTGTTTATTCTGGCTGTGAGGCGAGAAACGCGTTTATCAAGCTTATCCAAAAGATTTCAGATGTAGAGCGTCTGAACAAGTTCATAATTAATGTCTATTTGAATGTTAACCCATCCCAGGTGGAGCCCTTGCTGCGTGAAATATTTGATTTAAAAAATCACTAAACCAATTTTGTGTCGGGTTTTGGGCATTCAATGCCGATGTCGACGCTGAAGCCCAATGATAAATGATAAAATGATCAGCGAGCTGTAGTTGTTGTTGTTGATGTCTGTTTTATCTGTCGCTTATAATGTTAGATTTAAATCGAATGTGATTGTTAGATTTGCATATACTGCATAGATTTTATATTTCTACATCAAAGAGAGCATATTTAGGATACCAAGTGCAAAGCAACACAATCTATATGTAATGAACACCGTTTAACTAGTTTCCAATAAACTAAACACTGATGCAATAAATAAAGACTTTATTTCAAATCTTAAACTGCCATGTTATAATGGTAAATTCATTTCCCAAAAATATAGTAAAAATTGTATAGTCATATTGTCATGGCTGTTTTATAAAGATAAAATATAAACCAATACTTTTTCCATTTAAAAACTGCCTAATAAATCTTATTCTTTGATTAGATATTTGCCATACACCAAAACAAAATCGTTTGAACAATCCAAAGTGATTTAATAATTCGAAGGTCACAAAATGTACATTTGAAGTGGTAAGAAAGGACAAATTAGATAAGTGGAAGCCAACGTGATGTGCTTTAAAATGGCATCACCGCGGAGGGAAGCACCAGATCATCCACGCCTGTGTACCCGTGTCCAGTCCATTTAGGAACCCACGTTGTGTACGTATCCGCGTATCCAGCGTATGTGTCTGAATCTGCCGAAGCCGACATACATAGTCGTCATTTGTGTATAATGTAGGTAATATAATAGCTCGGGCTCGCTCCGCACCGCACAGCTGGTCGATAGACAAGTCCATTTACATTGTTAGTCCACTTTCAATATAAATCATCTTTCAGGTTGATTCGCGACAATCTTTTGCCCACTGCAGAAACTCATCCAACGCACTGACTGCCAAATTCCGACTTAATGCCTTGACTCTCAAATTACGATCGGTGGTAATGAGTACTAGTTCCGTTTGAATGAAACACTTTCCATCTGAAAAGCGCTTTTTGCTTAGAACTGGTTTTTAAATCAAATTTAATGTTTATTTACCTGTGCACTGTTCGGATTTAGCTGTTTTAGATACTGCCACAGCCGTTGCCAGAATTTTGTCATCGTTGGAAAGATACTCCTCCTCCACCAAGGCAAATACCGAAGCATTGACAAACGAGCCCTTTGTGGTAGCACACCTAAAAAAAGAGTTTGATAAGCATGACATAAAAATGGATGGGTAATATTTCCAGAACAACAATGAAAAAAAAATTATAGAACTGCCAGAGTATACCCCAGACTAGATTACAAAATTAACTAATCGCCATTAAAGCTGTAATCAGGAATTGGCAAAACGAAATCAACAATTGCTTACTTCACATTACTCTTAGCCGACTTGATGAATTCAAGTGACTTTTTGGCCCGCGACGACACCTCGTCAAAGTGGTGGATGCGCTGCGTCTGCTTAGAGCTCCTATAAGAGTCCAGTTTAACGCCCTTGGAGAGGCCATCTAATTCCTTGACGACCGTCAGCGGTATGATGAGAGTGTAGCGCTTAAACTCCATGGACAGTTTCTCAAAGTCTTCCAGACAGTCAATGAAGCAGTTGGTATCGGGTAGAAGGTAGCGCGGACGAACCTCAATGTAGATTTTGGTATCTACGAACTTGAGGATCTCCTCTAGTCTGGTGGTGCATATCTGCTTTACCTTGGCCTTGGCCTCCAGCTCCTTCTTTAACTTGCACAGCTGGGAAACATCGGCGTCGGTGGAAGGACATAACGATTCCTCAACAATTTGGCACTGTATCTTTGGCGCTTTTGTCACTAGACCACAACTTTCGGCATCGAAATTTTCCAGAGCATTCTTCATGGCTACATTGAGATCCTCAATGGTGAAGCTCGAATCCAGTGACTGCTGCAGAGACTCTTGATGCTGGGCATAGCACTCCTGAAACTGGGAAATCCTGCGCAAGCGTTCCAGGAACTGAACTCGTTCGGGGCCGCGCTTTAGACAATCTTTGCCTATCGTTTCACGACCCAAAGGATTAAAGCCGCTCAGGGCAAACTCTTCATCCAAAATAATTTCTTTCTTCTCCAACTTCTGCTTTCCCAAAACACATTCAATGTACTCAAAAAGGGTTGATAGCTCTGCCCAGCAATCGATGAACGAGTGCCTGTGGGAATTGAGAATTCATTGTAGTTCTTTTTTAAGGACTAGAATCAATACTTACTCTTCTGTTCTGACCGGTTCCCATATCTCAATGTTAATGCTTAGCCAATGCACATAAACCTTTACATACTGCAGATATGTGTTGACACTAGTAAAGCTAAAATAAAGAGCAAATTAGTAAACCATTCTAAGAGTCAGCATTGGGGTTTCATACTCTTCTTCTGGAAGACACTGGATGTTTGTAGAGGCCTCCACAAAATCGGCCATTAACTGGTTTGTTTTTTTCAAAATGAGTCCAAAGAATGAGTTGGCAAAATTGAAGCTGTGATAACGCATCTCGCGGCGTGACGCTGTAGAAAAACACAAGCCATTAATTTTATTTTAACCGTGATTAGGCTTATCAATCATACTCTTACGCTTGTTGTGCTCCACAACGAACAGGTTCAGTGCCACTATTTTCAGCAGTTTGGAGCGTGTCAACAGGTTGTCATGCTTGACGGCGGCTTCCATTTGGATCTGCAGTTTTCTTAGCAGCGGATATAACGAGTCCACACTGTAGATGATTTTAAGATATGTGTTAATACCGGTTTTCAACTTTCACTTTCACAGAATTAATTTAAAAGTAAAAGATTTGATATACTCACTCTGTGCCTGTGTATAGCTTTCCTATCAGGTACAGATAAAGGGACACGATGCGCGGCAGCAGCTCTTCCGTGGCCATCTCTTCGTAGCGATTTACCTCGGCCAATGTGGCCTTGTTGCCCTTCGTCTTGGTACCCTTGTCATCGGTGCGATGCAGTCGTCGAATTCCGTCTGGATATATCCAGACCTCCTTGCGCATTGGCTTCGACTTTTGGTTTTTCGGTGCTGCATAGTGCATAGGCGATTGCTTCATTTCGGTTTCCTCGTACTTGCGCCGAATCTCATCAAACAGATCCAGCAGGCTTTCCTTGGCCGTCTGTATCGAGTTGGAAGTCAGCAAACTGCGTACATAGTAGTAGACGGCATCGAAACGCTTGTGCTGCAGGAGAAATAGGTATATGATTGGTATTTAAATGTGTAAAATGTGATATAAATGATCCCTACATGATAAATGGAAATGACTGCCAGTTGGTTGTAAGGTGCTCCATTTCCAGGCACAAGTTCCTGAGCACGTTGATAGTATCTAGCCGCCTCCAGGTAGTCCGTAGCCTTGACATGATTCACTCGGTAGCGCGACAGGTCGCCCAGACAGATGAGCAGCCGCTGGGCAACCACTTTAAGGGCACTCTCGCAGCGCGACGAAGCCGCACATTTGGCCATCAGTTTGTCGTAGACCAGGCGGTAAAATTTGGTGGCTTGTTCAATTAGCAGCAAAATATGGTCATGCGCCTGATCCGTTTGCTGTCGCTTAAGGTAATCCCGCACATTGTAAAAGAGCAGTTTCCAAAAGAAGACATCCACCTTGTGCTCGCAGACGAACTTAAGCTGCTCCAGCAAAAGCTTCTTAAAGGCATCCTGCAGCTGGTCATGAATATAGCAAAAGTTCTTCCAGTTCTGGGGCGGATTTTAAAGATAAAGAAAGTGTTTTATATGATATATGGTATATGCTTACTATTAGTATAAGATTCCTTTGATGAAGCACCATTAGCTGATCGTACAATTGAACAATGTTTTTGGCATGGGGTAGGTCTAGAAGCGGCTCAAACCAGTCGGGATGCTCGGTGGTCAAGCGGGTGCGCGTCACTGGCGATTGCGGAGGAGCATGCTCCTTGTCCTTGCCGGGATGATGATTGCGACCCCTGCGACGGGCATTGTGTCCGGAGAATTTGCCTTGTCCTTGTCCGTTGGCATTTCCGCCAGACGCCGCCACGGAGGTGGCCACCCGCAGGATGCCCGGAATTCCGCATTCCCGCGGCCCTTTTCCGCTCCCGCTGGTAACCAAAACGGGATGGGGCTGGGCTCTTCCTGCACCTGCAGCTGCATTGCTCAGTATAGTAACTACAGCGAGTGGTGAAATCGTATAATGATGCAGATGTGACGCATTAACTTTGTATATATGTATGGCAGACTCACCTGGCCTTGGAGCAACTGGCTCCGCATTTTCAGCGTTCTCTGTCTCCTCCGCCGTTGTTGTTGTTGCTGTGGCTTTTGCTGCGTGGCTGCAGCTGGCCGCGATTTTGTTTTGAAGACGTTTTGGTAGCGTCCCAATGATCAGCGATATGTCATTTTGATCTCGCGTTCCCTTTCGACTCATATTTCAAGCGATAGCGATGCTTTTGCTGTTGCATTTATACCTTTTTGTTGAAATTTTGTCAAATGTGTAGTGGAAACAGTGTGACCAAATTATTAAAGGTAATTCTAGCCAACCATTAAATTTGCACTAAAAAATCCTTGAATTAAAATGCGCGCTCAGTTTTAAACGGTTAAAAGAGGAAAACCTAGATAAAGAGGGCTAAATCAATAACAATAATAACAAAAATATGTCATACATATTATACATTTTTGAAGCACGTTTTACATAAAATTTCAACTGCAAGATTATACAAAAAAGGCTTCGAAATTCAAAACAAAAAAGCACTAAAACTTTCCTTTTCATTTTACCTTTAACTGATGAAAAATCCATGAATTTAAGGGGAATAATTCAATAATTTAATGTCGATGATGTCGGCACGTGAGCGATTTTTTTTTACACATCACTTGTCACGCGCGTATACCTGCAGTGTGACCAGACCATATATATATTGGAGTGCAGTCAGCTGCATACTGATGGCGCCAAAATCTAAATATTATTTTTGAATCGTTACAAATATAGAGGAGTAAGCCAGCACAAAGTAAATTGTATCAAAGCAATATGAGTTGATTTTATTCTATATATTTCAAAAACATAACTAGATCTTAGTATAACATGTTATAAAAGAAAATAATGAAAACTTTTAAATAAAATTAATATTTAATGTTAATTATATTATGTTTGATTCATAGCAGTCATCAAGAAATAATGGGAGTGGATTAATCTACAGCATGAATTTTGTGGAATCAAGATTAAAGTAAAATACATATTATGATGATCAAGATTTCTTGAATAAATATTTCAATTTAAGTTTAATATTTGCGTTTCCATTGAATACTTACCGGCATACTTCGGTTGTCCGAACATTCTAAACCTTTGAATTTATTATAATCAGGAAACTAGAAGGGAACGTTAGCATATTACCTCCATTGTTACTCTATTTTTCCTTTCGCGTTTGCTTAAACTTAAAATAATAGCGTGGTAATCAAATATGTCTTCGCACTCAGAGCTTGAGTTCGCTTTATGTTTATAACTTTTGTCGAGTTTAATTTTGTTACGTACATGACTTTTTTTTATTATAGTGTTTCAGTCTTCCACTAACGTATAATTATTGGATAGCGCTGTGAAAGTAATAATATTCGGCCCATATTGCTTTACGTGTAAGTATTATTTAGAAAATACTATTTTTAAGCTTGTTGGAAAGCAAAGTTTTGATCAATCTCTTACAAATAGCGGATTTATATTAAGAGATGCTGGTAGTTAAGTCAATGAGTAAATGATGGATTGGTTACTTTAATTATATTATACATACATAAGTCGTGTACACTTTAGATTCAAATAAGTTGTATAAATTGTTACAGTGCAACTACAAGGAATGGCTGAAGCAGACTCCTTGGTGTTTATAAATGTTGTATATATCGGCAAAATCGATCATTAATTTGTTTATGAACTGTTCAATGTGAGCGTCAATAGATTTATATAAATATTGTAATAAATAATTACGTAAAAATGTTATCATATTTTAATCATTAATCCTAGTCCCACATGTTCGTTTTATATATGTTCTTCATGAATCGGGATTTTATCTTGTACACGCAATGGTTAAAAAATCTAAAAATTATAGTTAAACGTCTCTAAGCAATTCAACGGATGTGGGAGTCCATTCAATATCATTTAAAAAAGAATTCTACCGCAGCTCAGTTTAATTTATTAATATTCATTGCTTCGCATTTTATCCTTGTCGGTGTCCTGCAAAAAAGAAACCATGAAGTTAATAAACGATTTCATTAATCGATCAGAGAGAACTCACTCTTGGCAGATCCTTAGATGCGGACAAGCCAACCTTAAAGCGCACGCCGATTTTTATTTGTTCAGTACTGAAATCACGATCACGGGTTTTTAACCTGGCCTTGTTGTTAGTATTGTTCTGTTGATATTCGTTTTTTCTGTTATTGGATCCATAGTGGGCTCCAAAGTCATTTTCTCTGTCAAAGTCCAAGCCATCTCGGTCCTTAAACTGATAGTCGCCGCCGCCGCCGCCTCCGCCGCCCGATTTCTGGATGTCGAATCCCCGACGATACTCGCTGTAATTGCCCCTGTGACCTGGATTACGGAAACCTGCTCCGCCGCCTCCAGCGTTAAAGTGTTTTTGTGACATGCCACCTCCACCACCTCGTCCATCGCGATCCCGATCCCTGTCCTTGTCGTCCACCTGGCGGTTAAAACTGCGGGCCAGTGGCGCCTGCACTTGGTTGTTGCCATCGGGAACATGCATTGGCGGACGCTTCGAGGAGACCTCCTCCTCCTGCTTCTTCTCGTAGTGGAAGAAGTCGTCGAATATGGACGTTGAGTGGTTGTACGAGTGCAAGATCTGCAGCACTTCGATGCCCTTGTCGTTGGGCACTTCCTGGGTGTCCCGCGAGTTCGTCACCGACTTGTTCTCATTGTTCTCCAGTCGAATGTGTCGCAGCTTTCCATTAGGCACATCTTTCACATATATCCATTTCACCTTGAACTTGCCCCTCCACTTGTCCTGCGACCAGACGCTCGACGTTGAGTTGTAGTCCACCGCCGTCATCATTTGTGCCATGCCGCAGAAGTGACCGGATCCGTTCACCGAGAAGAAGAGCATGATGTTGCCGCCCTCTTTGTGCCGCTCCTTGAAGGCATCGTCCAATCTCTTGTTGCCATGGTCTGTGGAGCACCAAATCTCATACTTTATACTGCGGTGGATATCATCTTCGGAATACGATTTGATGACAAAGAACCTGCAAAGGGTAGAAAGGTAAGATATATATATTTAAACATATATAGAAGTATTACCTGGCTGCCGTGGCCTTTTTCAAGTCCACCACTTTCGGGTTGTAATTGTTTTTGTCTTTTAGTTCATCCAACAGAAGTTGGGGATCGACAGGCACCTCCTCGATGGCCGACGTGGCCTCCACCGGTCGTGATTGGTTCTCGTCCCGGTACTCGAACTTGGAGGCGTTCTCAAACTCGCTGCTGCGGAAACTGGAATAGTTGCCCGAGCGCTCTGAGTTGCGATTGGGATGTGGCACTCCATCGTGTCGCCTGGCGACGTTGGGTGGCCCAAAGGGTCCTGAGTTGGTCGCTGGACGGGGCGGAGCTGCTGCATGGTGGACCGGCGGCTGCTGGGCTCCTGGATTCCGGCGAACCGGACCCGTTGGCGAAACCTTGGCTCTGCTGAAATTATTGTTGCTGATGCCCAATCCCTTGCTCTCGTACTTCTGGAAGTTCTCCGTGTCTTTGTGCACCTTCTCGGTACGAGCGCCCAATGGCGGTGCTGTGTTGCCCGATACCGAAAAGTCTGAGCTCAAATCGGAGTAGCTCAAGTCGATCGGCGAGGGTGGAGAAGGTACAGGAGGCGGTTTATTGTTCGGCAAGTCCCATACGTTAACGTCTAAATTGTGCTTTCCAGGTACCATTGGTGGTGGTGGCATGCCCGGACCCTTTTTCTTATTGTTGGAAGTGGTGGACGCTGTCTGTTAAACAAAAAAATATGGTAATACATTCGGTTGGTAGACAATTTTATGTGAATACTCACTCTGGATGTTAGTTTAGCCGGCTGGGAGGCAATTGAGGCCCAGGTTGTCTTCTTGGGAGCGGCGACAACTTCTTGATTTTGTGCTTCATCGCTTGTTCTGTTGTCCAGTTTTGTAGACGGGTGGTCGTTCTCATTTCGAATCGACTGTGGAAAAGATATACATAAAGACATTACTTCCCAAACTTAAAAAATAAATCGATACAAAGCGGTTAAAAAAAATAATAAAGTTAAAAAAAAAAACAAGCTACGACAAGTAATACCAAATTTTTAAAACATATGGTATTTTAAATGTTTAACAAATCTTAAAAAAATTCTTTAAAATTAATGTACCTGTGCTGCTGGTTTCCTGGAATTCCAGGGATTTACTTGGTGCTCGTCGCGTCTTGTGTTGTTGGGAATACTATGTCCATGTCTTTTATATGAATCTAAAAAAAGGATATGAAACTATGAATTAGAGTCATTTTTACAGATTTAATTATTAGTATAAAAATAATAAGGAGCATTAACTCATCCTTGTCCTTTTAAAAGTGAGTCTTCTTGAAACATAAAAGCAAATTTCCATAATCTGTGGGTGGATATGCATTATTACAAATTTTAGAAGGCAATTCTACTTTCTTAAATTACATTTGGAATTTTATTTCAATTTCAGGCAAACAGATTTTACGAAAAATTATCAAAATTTTCAATTTTCGATGGAGGGAGAATTGGAGCTAAAGAGTGAGGAGGAGAGGGACACCATCCCAATTAAGATCGGAATCATAGGGGAAGCCAATCTGGACAGGCCCATTTATTTGGAGGAGCGCATGGAATATGCTGTTTGCACACCCTTCGGCAAACCATCGGATGTGATTATCGATGGCCAGATAGAAGGCGTTAATGTGTCGCTCCTATCGCGAAATGGCCGGAACCACGACATCATGCCGAGCAACATCAACTATCGGGCAAATGTGTGGGCCATGCGAAAGATGGGCTGCACCCACATCCTGGTTACGAACACATACAGCTCCCTGAGGGATGACTTCCAGCCAGGACATCTGGTTGTGCCTCACGATGTGATCGATCAGACGACGAGGCGGGCTCAAACCTTTTACGATGGTGCTGTGGGCAGTCCCTTGGGCGTCTGTCACGTTCCCATGAATCCTGCCTTTTGCGAACGCACTAGACAGCATCTTCTGGGTGCCGCTAAGGAGTTGGACTTCCCCACTCGATCCAGTGGAACCGTGCTCACCCTCGAAGGACCACGTTACTCCACCGTTTCGGAGAACAATATGTTCCGCAAATGGGGCGCCGATCTCCTAAGCATGACCCTGTGTCCCGAGGCCACGTTGGCCAAGGAGGCCGGCATCCTCTACGCTTCCTTGGGCCTTATTACCAACATGGAGTGCTGGTGTGCCCAGCAGCCCAATGCAACGACGCACGAAATATTCTACATCTTTAAGAAGCAATCGGAAAACCTCCAAAAGGTCATCACCACGGCCATTAAAACTATGGCTGCAGAGGATTGGGCTGAGGATATACTGAAGGCAAAGGTAATGTTGATATTGAAAGACTTAAAGCTGGTATTGATTCTAAGAAAAAACCCTACAGATTTTGGTGTGCAGTAACTTTGCAAATAATAAATGATATTATGGCCTCATGATAAATATTTCGTTACAAAATTAAAATGTTCTTATATTTTTTAGTTGTTTCAAAAAACGATCTTTTTTTTTTGATGTTATAGATAGAGTTCTTAAGAGTTTGTCAGCAAATAAAGCAAGGTTAATTTCGCGTTAAAAAACTATATAAACTGAAAATACCTTCTTGTGTGTTATTTTTGTTAGTAATTGATTTTTTTGAGGATGAAACCCACTTTTTTAAAGTGGCATTGAATTCTTTGAATAAAAGCACTTGTACCTAAAAAAAAATAAATTAACTGCCCCGGAATTGAAATCTGAAAACGATATTGTTTTCATATTAATCTTTTAGGCGGTTTAGCATTTCTGTCAACCGATTTCGGTTTAAATTTAAATTCCCAAAAATATTTAATTAAGAAAAACAACCTAAATTGATCTGGGAATCTTTGTTATTCAATTGGAGATTTAAGACCTCAGTGCGTCCAATCGGAAGCTAATCGGACGACTTCCCGATGCACCGACTGCATTATGGATATTGGCAGAGTCGAAAAACCAGTTCGCGAGAACGATTGCACACTGAGCAAAAGTGTAAGTACTGGATGAAAACAACTATACATACCATGGTTGTTTGAGCTTGCTTTTCGGCCCTTGTTCATATTATTCCATGGAGCGTTGCAGTTCTCCTTAAAGTTGAACGGCGGATATTGGAATTGCATGGAGCTTTCATTGACTGGGGAATCGATGGGAGATCGGATATATTGGTTATGGATTGTAATTTAATAGGCCACTACTTACCAGAGACTTCATCGTGAGTGGGAGAGGGTAGATTTTCATAAGAGGCCTCATCGACTTGCTGACTCCATGGTATATTACGCTCCTCGACCGATTTAGCTGCATTTTGAGGCATTTTAGGAGAAAATTTACATTAAAACCGCACATAAAGCAGGAAATACGATCGAACGAAGGTAGTTGGTTCCTGTTGTCTATAAGAAAATTCTGTCTGTGGTGGTAGGTTGTGTTATATACCTGTGTTTCCTGGTATTTTCATCTGAAACAAAAACACACGGCAGGTTAATTATATTTATTACTCGAGTGCATCATGCATATTATGTGTACATCATTTTAAGGTCGAAAATCTTCCTGCGGAACCACAAATAAATCGAATCGAAACATATGTATGTACATACATATGTATGCAAAATACAATTACCTGATCCACGCCTGACATTTGCTGCACTTTTTGCCTGCAAATACGAAATATACTTAATATTGCCGTTCGGTTTTTGTTGCACTTTACTCCGCTTAGTTACCCCTTTTAAAATAAATGATATAAAAACACAAGGCAGGCGAATTTGTTGCTTAAAAGTTTTAATAAACTCCGATATATTTTTTACTTAAAGAACCACATACACTGACACCACACGCACATTAACCAATACACTGATGGGATTCTTAACGCTTCCGAAGCCGTGTTTTTTTAATGAACGGCGTTGTGGAGACAAAAGCAATGTTGACAACACTAAAATAACGGTTGCTGAAAGGAAAGTTTTGAGGAAATTAAAGGTTCAAATAAAAAAACTTTATAATGTAATTTTTTTTTTAATCTTTAAATGTTATTGAATGTTTTATTTAAAAACAATAAACAACTGTGGTATTTTTCCAGCACTGATTACTAAAAATACCAGGGCTGTCACAGAAAACTACTGTCGATATATCGTTTGAGATGGAAAAACATCGATATTCTCCTCTTCTAAGAAGAAGCAAGTAGCCACCTCATCTTTGTCAGCCGTAGATTTTGTTAGATTTAAATTGTTGAGATGGCTAGGGCGACTTTTATCGTGTGCCTTCTGATGGCCAGTGTCTGGAGCAGCCACGCCGTGATGTTCAAGCTCAGCCCGAACACCCAAAAGTGTCTCAAGGAGGACATCCAGGCGAACCAACTGGTGATGGGCGAATACGAGGTGTCCGACGTGCCCGGCCAAATCATCGACTATATAGTGAGTTTTCGACATCTAATATATATATTACCATGGTTTTAATACCGGTTTTGTGTACAAAAGGCTCGCGACACCAAGGGACACATCCTGTCGCAGAAGGAGCACATTACCAAGGGCAAATTCAGCTTCATGTCCGAGGTGTACGACGCCTACGAGATTTGCTTCATATCCAAAGTTCCTCCACGTAAGTCATGTTTACCGGAACTACGCATAAAGTATATGTTTAAATACCTTATTAAATAATAAAAATTAAAAAGTCACATGCTATGTAGGGCTGAGCCAGTCTTCAATACACATGGGTACCCAAAATGTTTTTTTTAACATATTCCAGATTGATATTTGTTATTATGATTTTTTTTTAATATAATACAATTTTGGTAAATTAAACATATCAAAAAGAAAATACTGAAAATAACACGTATAATCATTAAAGTTATAACTATATAACGAATTTGAATTTTGTACATGATAATATGTCTTGATATTGTTATGTTAAAAAGAAAAGACCTAAAATATTATGTAGAGCCAAGAAAATGAAACCTGTAGCATAACATAAGTTTTCATATATTTTACCAGATCAACGCGGCATTGTACAGGAAGTATCGCTGCAGACGAAAAAGGGTGTGGAAACCAAGAGCTACGAAGGCGTAAGTACACTTAAGTCGCCTTTCTTATCTGTTAAATTTCATGTTATTGTGTTTCAACTCAGATTGGCGAAGCCTCCAAGCTGAAGCCCCTGGAAGTGGATCTTAAGCGTTTGGAGGACCTTTCCGACTCCATTGTGCGCGATTTTGTTCTCATGCGCAAGCGGGAAGAGGAAATGCGGGATACCAATGGTATAAATAAAACCCTAATAGCTTAAGAACCCATCTAATCTTTGTTCTTTTATCGTTCCTGCAGAGAAAACCAACAGCCGCGTCCTGTTCTTCAGCATCTTTAGCATGTGCTGCCTGCTTGGCTTAGCGACGTGGCAAGTTCTGTACCTCCGCAGATACTTCAAAGCCAAAAAACTCATCGAATAATCAGTCGCTTAGCCGTAGTCTTAGTGCTTGTGGTGGAACTTTGTTTAAAAACACCTGCTTTCGATTTCATCTTTTGAACGTTTTTCTGAAATAAATGCAACTACCACGTATGTATATTTTATTACTGCGACTGCTTCTCCCACATGTCTTGGCGGTGTGACAAATAAATAGCTCATATTGGACGCGTTTAACATAACAGGTACATAACACAAAACCACACGGTACAAGTTATTGGCTCAGCTGGCATTAGTTGATAGATTCGAAGCTTAGCAGCTCAGACGGTTGTTTCCTTCAGCAGCATTGCACTCTCTGTATCGAGTCCATCTCCCTTGATGTCCAACGATGCCCCGGCTTCATCGGGGTCTTCTTTGCAGGGACTTGTGGCTGCCTTCTTCATCAAGATGTAGCGTGATTTGGCACTCGAATCCTCGACGACGGACTGCTCCATCCACAGACTGTCGTCGTTCAGCGCTTGGTTCACCAAGTTTGCCAAGCTCTCCGGCAACTTTGATATTCCGGTGGGATCTGAAGGGCCTACAAAAATTCAAACATAAGATTACACGATTTGAAGGCATTGCAAACTAGGCTGCAATCTCGACTTTCAATCCACAAAACTTGTTTTGGCCGGCTTGCAACTTTTATATTGGTGTAAAAAAACTGAAAAAGATAGACACTTTCGCTTTCAAAAATAAATACAAATAAAAAGAAAAAGAAAAGAAGACAAATGAGGTAAAAAACGTAGTTTATTTTCTTAAAGAAGACGAACACATGATAAACAATATACATAATTAAAACATAGATTCAGAGAAAAACTGTATACGAGCTTTTAAGCTGCTACTGCAAAAAGGAACAAAGTACATTAGATTGATATTCGATATGGCTCTTGAAATGCGTACATAATATAAATTAGAATTGCAATACTTCAGCTTACATATTTACAATGATTTCAATAGATTTAAAAAATGAATTTACACTAAGTAAATTCCAAAATATCTTGAGCACAATTCAAACTAAAACTTAAATATAAATTTTAAGGCTTTGAACTCCGAATTTTATAGTTTTTGATTAAGATTCTTGTAAGATTCAATAAGAGATTTTAATTACTCAAGATAGCCGTATACATAACAAATCAAAAACTAATGAAATCAAGACTGAACATAGCCTGTTAATTTTTTGGTAAGTCCACGCTATTAAAAGCATGCAGATAGAAAGGAATCTTGGAATCCTTTTATTACTATATATAAGGCGTGAAATAAGTGTTATTATAATAATGAATAGCAAGCGGTAATCTAATCGCTGGCTTAAAAATACTTTTCTTAGCAACGAAATATAAATTAAAGTAACAACGAACTGGAATTAGTGGTTAGTGGATAGTACAACACATAGGAATAACACGAGAGCTGCGTTTTGGCAACTTGACAACTTGATCAACATCACCCACCACCGCCGCCGCCGGCTCATCAACTGTGCTGTCCTCCTCGTCTTTGATGGACAAGCGCTTAAGATTCTCTAGCCGGGATTTAAGCTGACCAGGGGGAACGGCTCCCCTTGGAGGGGGTTTTTCAGCCACCTCGGGACAGGTCGATATGTCCGATTCACCAGCTTTGCTCTCTGATTTTCTATCCAGCGCTAGTCTGCCTTCTAGGGGACTACGTGAACTGCTGGAGGTGGAGGTGCACGAGCTAGTGACCTCCGGATACGGCGAATGGGACTCAGTGCTCTCTGGCGTGTAGGGATCTTCGTACTGCCGTCCCTCAGAGTCCGTGCTCAAGTGCTGCGTGTCGATGCGATTGATTATTATATCCTGTGTTAGCATCAATCGCTTGGACAGCAGCTTATACCGGTGAGCCACGGGCTGTTTCTTGATTATGTTTCGGCACATGGGACAGATGGCTTCGCCAGTTCGGCTGGTATCGTCCAACTGGAGCAGACTATTACTAGAAAGGTGTGCGCACAAGCACATGCAGATATTATCGGAATCAATTATGTTAATACTAATGTTTGGGAAGTTCGAGGAGGGCGATTTACTAGCCTCCTCCTCCCCATCTTGACTAATTTTCAGAGAATTGTACGTATTGCGAGCCTCCGTCTCATTGATCAGCTTTGAATTGGTGGCTATATCCTCAAAGAGCTTATTCGAATAGGGACAATATTTCAGTTTGACTGCGGGCAGAGGTGATGATGTTGAGATTTTGTTGGGTGCGTTGGCGTAAGTATTCGTGTAGTTGCAATCACAAGATCTATAAGTACCTTTGTTTGGTTTAAGACGGACAGTTAAGTAAACAGGCTACATGACAAAAAAAGGAAGAGATAATAATTATTAGACCGATTGAAGTACAAAATGCCATTAGAAATGGTATATACATATGACAGTCCTATCGCTTTCAGAATAAAAGTTACAGAACTAACTTCGATGCACCGAAGTCCTTAAATATCCTTACAATTTTAATAAGATTCATTCCTAGTTTTGTTGTTGCGTTTTAGAATATCTTAAATATATTTTTATTTAAGCGCACTACAAGTTTATTGTTGGTTAGGAATTGAAGCGAATTAGAATCAGCCTGTTCGAGTAAGACATTCGGAATCAATTTGAAGCCTCTAATAGCGAAGAGCAAGAATATTTATGAAAAGTGGTGCAAAGTAAAGAGCAATCGATATTTGTAAGTAGTTTTAGATTGCTTCTGAAGTTATTGAAAGAAAGTTTGATGGTCTCCAAGTATCTTTACCTTGTGGTCGCCCATGCAGACAGCTTCACCAATCATTCCGTATGTCCAATCATCGCTCCGAATAATCTCATGGACTTGGGGACTCATCAGAATCCGATCACACCAAGCCGGACAGCGGGTGGACATATAGTCGGTGGGCATTTCTGGATCCTCTTCGAACGGATATGACGGCACAAACTTAATGGGATACTCGACTAGGATGTCTTTAAGTGGCTCCAGCTCTCTGTCAAACTTCTTGAGCTAGAACAGACAAAAATTAGTCATTATGAATTTGTGGAGTTGACATATAAACTTATTACCCAGTCTTCTTTAAATTTGAGTTGATGGTCGGCATGACTAAATTCTTTTTTTCCAACAGTAAGTACGTTGTTTCCAGTTGAGTTGCGATAATGGATCTTATCGTTTTCATTCTTCACATTTTGAACGCGATGAGGAGTCAAGTTCTCAGTTAGTTCCTAATAAATTATAATAATTGAATCTTTTTTATGATAACTCGGATGGTAAACTTACTTTCACAACTCCTTCCGTGTCACATCTAAAATTAAAATCCCCAAAGACGAAAAATGGCACAGTGCCATTCTGCTCGTCCAAATGGAACCTGTTTTGGTTGTAATAAGTTAACACTGATTAAAGCTAACTAAAATACAAATTACCTTTCAATAGTATGAACTAAGGCTCTTCTCCGCGTCTTACAATAAACAGAAGGAAAATTCTCACAGGCAGCCAAATTGGAGGCATCGTGGAATAAGTGAATGTTGACTAGATCGATGACTGTGCCATTGACTTCCCATCGTGTTCGCATAAAACCTTTTCGGGACCATTTACACTAAATCAGATATAGTAGATTCATAAATATCCAAAAATCGCAGAGTAATAAAACGATTTCAACTTACTTCCGGAAAGAAATGCTGTGGGAATTTAGACTTTTCTTTGGTGGCAATAGTTTCAATATTTCCGGAATATATATGTTTATCTTTAATATCTTGGAGACTTTCCTCCCAACTGTGGGTTAAGAAATTCCATATTTTCAAAGAGGCAACATCCTGGTGGACAAAGTAAAGACTTCCAAGGGCCTATTGAAAGATAATATTTTAAATAAAATATATATTATGTGTGATCTATATAAATAATAAGACAAATACATTTAATGTTGTTTCATTAAAATATTTAAAAATCCTATTTTCAATAAATTTTGATTTCCATTTTTTCACATATTATTTATGAATCAGCTTTAAAGTACCAGAGAAATTTTAGTTTTGTTGTTGATTGAAATATGGACTCTTATGACTAAGCCCATTGAGATAACATATTAAAATCTTGCATGTGGTATGTATAAATAAATTGATTTGAATAAAATTTTTTATTATTTCTTAAACAACGAATTCGTAAACATTTGATATCGACACTTTGTTGAGACTCTATCATTAAAAATTTTTGAGGATACAACATAAATTTGATTATTAGCTTTACTCATCGGCAGATAAGTGAAAACTATAAATATGCTAAATAATAATATTTAAGAATTATATTGTACGATATTAAAAAATATGATTGGTAAACGGAAGTAAGAACCATGAAAGGTAAAGAGTAAATAAAACCATTGAGTTGAGTAACAATTTTAATGAAAAGCCAAACAATAAATTTGTAAACAATTTTAATGCTTCTTTGTTGACACCCTATCAATAAGCTTTAAATATCGTAAAGCAAAAATAATGTTTCTTCATAAAAATGATGATGATTTTAAACTCTAATAATGATATTTTAAAATAATATTTTGGTAAATGATGTTTTTTCGTAAACGGAAAAATATTGTAACAATATAGAATCTACATAGCCAATAAAAAATCAGTATCAAATAGTATTCAATAATATAAACCAAAAGGAATGTTTGTTGATACAAATTATCTTTGATTATACCTTTACTGAACGGCAGAAAAATATTTTGTTTTTTGTTTGTGATGTTTTTAAATATTTTTGGTAAACAAATGCAAGAACAGTATAGAATCTGCATAGCTTATATAAAATGAAATTACTTTTAATATTATAAAAGCTTTACGGAAGTGCAGAAGAATATATGTTTTCTAGTATTTTTAATAAACGGAAAAAAGCTGAAAGAAGCACATCTAAAACAAGTACTATCAATTACGAAACATAGAAGTATAATATTTAAAACATTTTTGGAAAAGTATAGAACTTAGCTCATTCAAAATAGTTTTTTATGTAGCTGGAAGCACGGTCTACGTTAACTCACCGTAAAGTGCTCGGCCGACTTGAAGTCCTCGTCCATGAAGATGTGTACGCAGGTGAATTGGGCCATTTCGGGGGCATCGCAGAGGCATTTGATGAACTCCTGGACGTACTCCATGGACTTCTCGTAGGTCTTTCCGCCCACTTCCTGGAGATGAAGTGCCAGGAATTTAGGCTGAACGATGGATATCTTGGCGAGGAATTCGTGGAGCCATAGCTGCAGAAGTCTCTCCGGCTGAAAAGTCGATTGAAAATTCGATTATTTGGGGGCGGATTATCAATTTGTTTGGATAAACACATATTTTGCATGTACATATGTATATTTATGTCAGTGGGTCCATACATAAATATGCGTATTTACATTTACGCATTTCGTGTATGTATGGGCCGTTTGTAAACATGTATACTTATTGGCCCTATGGAAATTTCTATTTGGATCTCAAACGTACATCCTCGAACAGGCTGCCAACATTGGCTGTGACCAGAAATATATCCGTGCAGACCCCGTCTTCCTGTGCTGAGTCCATTTGGTCCTGTTTTCGCCTGCGATGCAACAATTTAATTCACCTTTTATCAGCGTTCCAATTGAAAAAAATGTAAATACTAATTGAGTAAAGGGGCGCAGTGTTACCGTACCGTCTGTCAAAAACTAGGGCGTTTCGAAAAGCAGCTGCGGTATGACCGTTTGTTATTTATTTAATTATTATTTATTCACCAATGGATAAATCCTTATCTGGATATCAGCTAACTTAACTTAAAACTAAGTATTAATTAAAAAATATTCCCTAAGTAATTGCCCAAGCACATCCTTCTTCGATCCCCAAACCAGTCGAATACTTAGTGGCAAAGAGTTAAAAAGTCTTAAAGTTTATTATGCGGACATGTTAATTTTTCAAAACTAAATTTTTTTGTTTCGCTATAACAAAAATATTAATTGATAGTTTATTAATAATTTGACAATTAACTTGCGTAACTGTTTCCTTTGCTTAGGGTTTTTGAATTTCAAAAGAACAGCGCAGTTATATGTCAGAAACCAAAATTAGGTCTAATGCTCAGCATAATGCTCAGTGAAAAGTTAACTCAAATCAAATCAAAACAAGGTTCCTTCCATAACTTATATTGCTTAAAAATAATATCAAACATATTTAAAAATACTCAATATTCAAGTTGTAACTTAAAATAATTTGTTTTTGTCTATAAAAATATAACTTTATATTTCAAAACGGTAGTCGCTAATCTACCCAAAAAGTATTTACTTAAATTCATGTACTTACTTTTCAGTGTACCAAGTACCTTAGTTAGCAGTGTATTTGCAATTAAATATGAATAAATGCATTCCGAAATTAACTATTCAAGATATGTGGTGGCACATTAACCAAGTCTTAGATTTGTCGTCTATATTATGAGCATATCCGGCGGTGAAAAGCTATTAATTACAACTGTGTAAACTCACTATATCATACTGCAAATACTATTGCTTTAAATTCAAATAAATTCCAAAGGCTCGTAAAGTAGTACACTACTTATTAGAAATATCATCAATTTGTAACACTTATGCAAATTGTTTTTCCCACAAAACGAGTTTAGCAATTTGTCAAAAAAGAAGTCAAAAACGTAAGACTGCAGATACTATATAGGCTGCTGCTATTTTCAGGCTTTTTGAAAGTTAGGTAGTGAAAGTTGTATTGAACTTTTTTGCCTCTGTTTCGAAATCCCAACACAATCCAAGCAATTGCACGTAGCATGAATACTGAACAGCACGTGAGACGGTAGCCACATTTCTTGCAAGAATACGCAAGTGATATGATATGTGTATGGTGTATTGTATATATATGCCCTATAGGGGCCAAAACCTTTCGGGGGAAAAGCAACGGCAGTTATAAATACTTGCACATACTACGTTGCCCAGATATTTTCTTTACAGCAATGCATTGGGTTCGAAATTTATAAAGAGACGAACGGCAAGAAAACCGTTTATTGTATTTTTAGGAACCGTTTAACTCATATCTTACCGCGATCAAAAAAATGCGCTATAATTACCTTTTAGTTATTATATGCGCTTCCTGCGCTTTTGCGGTTCCGGATAGCTATTCTGGCGATATCCAGAACTCGAATTCATTGGATTTCGGTGCGTGAAGATACATAAGGATACACAGAAAATAAGACAATTATTAAAACCAAAACTATTAGTGAACTTAAAAAAAAACAATTTAAAAATATTAGTAAACCAATTGTGATTCAATTATATTTTGCAGCTAATTTATTGAAGAGTGTTTGAAAAAAGCAAGAAATGACTTAAATGTTATAATAAGTGTTATGATTGAAATATTATTATTTCAGTTGAAGCCCAAGAATATAATTATCAACAAGTTCATTAAAACTTTACCGGATAAACTTTGTTAGTCATATTAATGTTGATTTCATATTAAGTTTAATATTCTTATCCTCGCTACTGAATTTGATACGGTTTTATAATAAAATATTGGATATATTTCCCTTATTCTGGAAACTAGAATCGATTAGATTAAAAAAGAAAGAAAATAAACCACTTAAGAAGTTGATTTATTGAATTAACCCCACAAGTGATATTATTAGAACATTGTTTTGAATTTAAGTAAATAGTAAGTTGGAATCGATAGTATTCCATTATATTTCAATATTTTTCTTATTTCTATTAGGCAACGATAGTGGGGGCTATGAATATAACTCCCCGCCAAAGAACAACTACCTTCCGCCAGCCACCCCAGCACCAGAGTACCTGCCTCCACCAAATAATGGATACCAGTACAATCCGCCGCCAAACAACAACTACCTGCCTCCTCCAAACAACAACTACCTGCCACCTCCACCTGAATACGGACCACCTTCTGGTTACCCTGTGTATGGTCCACCACCTCCCTTTTATAAGCCAGCTCCTCCCATTCCCTATCATTCCCACGAATCCTTCTTGGAGAAACTTAAGTCCAAGATCAACCTATATACGCTTGGAAAGATATTGTTAAAGCTCTTGATATTCAAGAAAATAGTCAAGTTTATCGGCTTGATTTTTCTACTCCTGGTTTTGCCAAAGCTGAAAAATATTTTTAAGGATGATATGATGTCGGGATCTGGTGAAAGCGATGGAATGGAAAGTAAATTTGTAGAAACAGACAAAGGTAAGTTATTTTTAAGGATCTGTTCATAATTGAAAATTATATTTCCTTTTTTTGGTGCTTTTCAGATAAACTATCGAAACAAATTGAAGATCTTTACGATTTCGTAATAAATTCTATAGAAAACTTTGAAGGAAGAAGTTCATAAGGTGAATGCCAAAAGTAGTTAAAAATGTATTATTACGAATTGTATTACATGCGCATTTGATTATTTATTTGTTAAAATTGTTCTTTTAAATAAAATTGTTTTATAAAATACGTTTGTTTTCATTCATTAAAATAAGGTAAGTATCATTTGTATTAAAAATCGAGAAATTTTATTGAAAGTATAAAATTCTTATATCAAACATTTGTTTGTTATTTAATTTGTTTTGTTTTTGCTTATTAATTAGCCTGTAAATAAAATATTTTATACATTTCCCAAAACATTAGTTACTTTAAGAAAATAAAAGCTTTTACATTTATGTATGTACCCATATGTTACGTACCCACTCTAGATACAAAACGTTTTTTCCCATCACTGTTGACGCGATAGGTTTTTTGAACTATCGATAACCCGGCTCACTCTCACGATTTGATTTGGCTTTTTTTGCCAGTGATCTTCACTCCATCACAGTCAGATAATGCTTTGCTTTATATTCGTTGTATTGTTGGGCTTAAGCCTGGGAGATAATGCTGCAGCCCAGGATTTGCGACGTGTGGATGACACGGAGCTAATTCAACTTCTGACCGGCAACAGCAATGTGGTCGTCCTATTTAGTAAGTACTATATATATATCCAGCTTACGTGGACTATCCAAACACCGGTTTATTTGGCTTGCAGACAAAAACAATTGCCAGCGCTGTTTGGAATACGAAAATGTGGTCACCAAGATTTATCCCCAACTGCAGGAGACTCTGTCGGCCATTGTGGTGCAGTCGGTGGACAGCAATCTGGTTTCCATTTACGATCCCAGCAAGGAACCCGCTCTGGTCTTTTTCAGGCGAGGAATACCCATCTTGTACCATGGCGAGGTGAACGATGACGAAATCCTAGACTTTTTCAATGACAATTTGGAGCCAGCTGTGAAAGAGCTTTCCGATGACAACTTTGAGCACCTGACTCAGGCCTCATCGGGGGCCACCACCGGGGACTGGTTTGTCTTCTTGTAAGTTAGGCTATACTACTATATTAGTCATCTAAACATGTACACCCACTTCTAGCTATTCCGCCGAGTGTACCGTCTGTCAGCGACTTTATGCCGTCTGGGAATCTGTGGGCGGAAAGCTGAAGCGAAAGTTGAACATTGCACGAATGAACAGCGCGGAATCGGGGCTCTCGACGGCCAAGAGACTGGGAGCTTTGGAATCGCCGGCTTTTATTTTGTAAGTCCCTATCCACAGTAACGGTCAAAATAATAGTCATTTTTTTTAGCTTATGAACATAATATATTTTTTTGAATGTCCCACTTCTATTATTTTGACCGCATCTGTAAAGGTTTTACAAAACCATATACTAAAGTTAACCATTCTCAGCTTGAGGCAGGGAAAGATGTACCGGTATTTGGCCAAACAATACAGTCCCGAAGCCTTTGTCCAATTTGCTGAGAAGGGATACTTAACCCAGAGCCATCCGCAGCCAGTACCACAAATACCCAGTGCCGTGTAAGTATTTTTCTTAAAGCTCAGCCATTCTTTGATATCTATTTCGATCGAATATTAAACTCAAAGTTCGATTATTATGACCTTTTTATAGGGATTTGTGAGAAACTGAAACATGTCTTAGTAAGTTGAGCAAAGATAAACATTTCTTAAACCCATTAATGAGTTCGAACTAATTACTTAAATAATTATTATACAATTTAACTTAACAAATAATGAGTTTTAGTCCCCGGTGCAAGGTGGCAAATAACGTCAGTTTGAGACTTGATTTTGATATTAAATATTACTCCGTTGATATCAAGCCATATATTAATTGTAACCGTTGTATAATATCCATAATCGTTTATTTTGTACATAAACCTTATAATAATCAATATTACCCTGGTTTCAAGAGTTCCTGGTTTAAGAAGATCGAATTTAATAAAACAAGATTTTTGTAATAACTGTAAATGAAAATAAAAATTATTAATTATAAAACTTTTATGTATTTCAGAAACGAATTTTTGGGCCCACTCCAAAGTTATTTCAAATCTGAAAATATTACATCGCTGGCGTCTTTGGGAATTTTTGCATTGGTCGCAGTTTTTTATCTCACAAAAAAGATAGCCAAAGTATTCAGTTCAGAACCAGTGAAAACGAAAAATAAATCTAAATAAAATATAATTTCTAAACATACGTATATGGTTTTTGAAATCTAATAAATGGGATACACAGTTGTTCTATCGTCAAGGCAAGAAAATAATTTAAAAAAAATTAATATAATATTGTTAACAAATATTCAAGACAGACCCATGGAAATAAACAAATAAAATATTAGTTTTAGTCGAATAAGTGAGTTGGAACATTTTTTATCATCTATTTACTTACAAAACATAAAAATAAATTTTAACTGAACCTCAAAATTTAAATATTTACAAGCAAACGGTGAGCGGGAAAGATCAACTACTGCAATTCCTAACGATACAGAAATTGCCAGCTCTGCCGTGGAATAGTGGAAACGAAACATGCAGATACTTAATATCGCACAAGATCCATTGCTCGTTTATATCGCAAACAAAATACCTACCCAATTTACAAATTGGTTTTAATTTATTAGCGTGGCAACAAACAAACATATTAAGAGCGGGACTCAGTTAGCATCTGAGTTCAGAGGCTAACTCGTCGGCGGCAATCTAGCCAATTACTAAAGTGCGATGATAGTTTGGCGTGGAATACTTAATTTGAAACATCGTGTTGTTTTCTAAATAATAATTATATTCGCGATCGTTTTACCCGAGGTTTTGGAAGTTTTTGCAGTCGTTTGCATTTTCCCCGGAATTATTTTATCTTGGGTAAATCACTCGAAACCCGCTATTTATATTCGCTTCATACATACAGTGCTCACTAAATGTCAGTTGACGTCACAGAAGGTCTTGAAAAAAGAGCGAGGAGTGCACATACTACGGACTGGTATACTACGAATATACATATATATAAACATATACAGCTTTGGTCAAAATAATAATGGCTCAAAAACATACATTTTTAAACATAATGCTAACTAACCAAAAATCAGAAGGAGGTTTATTATTGATTTAATTGTCCAGGAAAAATTAAAACTTAAAAATTTATTTTAAATAATTTAACTTTTCCATATACTGTAGTAATTGATCTCAGAACAATTTGAGAACATATTATTTAATTAAAAATTTAAAAACATTTCATTTATCTTTTTTTCTATTTTAATATTACAAAAATATAATAAAATTCTTCAAAAGTTGGTTGCTATTTCCATTAGCTAAAAAACTACTACTTCCATTTTGACCGCTCCTGTATATATTTATATATGTATATTTGTAACAACAACATGGTGTAGGGAGAATCCCAGAGAGCGGGAGAGAGATCAAGAGAGCACATCGCCAACGACTTTCGTTGATATTTTGGCTGTATTTCGCTGTATTTTGCTGTAGTCAAGCGCACATGAGTCAGATTAATATTTTGCTTGTGCTTTTGTTCACTTCAGTTTCAGTTCATTTCGATTTAAGCACTCAAACACTAAAGTCAAAATACTAATGTGCGTACTTACGTGTAAAGCAGTTGAGAAAAATGTGCAAACGTACTACTACCATATGTACTTGTATGTGGTGAAGAGTGCCAGCATTAATCGCTTTTTTCCCCTGCACGACGACTAGAAAATACTCGACTCTAGTAGCTAGCTAGTAGTGAAAAACAAAAAAGAAATAAAATTGATATTGTGTAAGTTGTATCTAGCATTGAAAAGATGAAAAGTATGAAAAACATGAAAAGTGTCATTCCTATAAATACACCTCCTCGGGAAAGAAAGTCGCAATAATAAAGGCACCATAAAGGAACCCAACTTTGGACGAGAGCTAAAAAGTATAGTGCGCAGCCCATCATGACTAACTCACCACCCAAAAGGCTAGCCCATGTACAGAAAATCGATATTCTAGTCGCGCTGTAACGCTGGGTAGCGCGTACCTGAAAACCGAAAAAAAACAGAAAACACAAAACAAGACATTAGTATACCGAAAAACCTCTTCCGCAAATGGTCGACATATCAGCTATATAGCTATACATATCATATAGCCTCCCATCTGTGATACGCGTGTACCTTAAAACCTAAACAGTTTCCGAAATGAACAATTAACTTTGCTTCGATCTCGAGGGTATCACTGGGAAACTAACGATGCGTCTTGTCCGCAGTAAATGTTGTCAACGTGATGTTTCTGTATCCGACTATTTGAGCACCCCGCATCCGCATCCTTCGTCCGAAGTCCACACCAAAAATATATTTACTCGCTACTGGGACGACCACATAAAAATGAAGGAGTCAAGCGAAACCAGGGGAAAACCCACCCAATCTTCGTCATCAGCATCATCACCACCTGCCAAACAAACCCAGAGCGTTACGTTCGTGAGGACCAGTAATGCAAATGCACCAGCTGTTTGCGACGGGAATGGAAATGGAATTGGGAATTCAAACCAAACCGAATGGACGTTTCCCCCAAAACTGCCCACACCGCATATCTACAATTGCCTGAGCCCCGTAAGTCTACACATGAACAAAAATGTTTAAGGTTATATGATATTAATTAAAAGTAAACTCATGCGAAATAAGGTGTACGATTAAATTTAAAAGAAATCCAGAACCCATGTAGAATTGATACTTAAAACAAGTAATTTATAGGTAAAATTGATTTATTTTTGAACAGATATTTTACTTCAGCAAACATGATTCTACAAAATCTACAAAAACCCTGTAGAATTCGTCTCGATCTAACTGATATTTTAAACAAGTAATTAAATATGAAAACCTCGTCAAAATGATAGGGAAAAAGTGGATATCTTTTTGGGCATTTTGGTATCTGTTTAATTTTTATGTTCAGCAAACATTATTATACTGTTATTTATACACCACCCATCCTAAAAGCGATTCGCACATGTTTCCTCATCGGTGCAGATTATCATGACGTAACGATTATTAGATACTCCACGGGTGACCATTTATATAGTATATATACATAGTTCCTAGTCTTTGTGTGCTCGTGTGTTGGCGGAAGATAAAGAGGAAACAAATTATTTGCACTTCAGCAATTGCCATCTAAATCATTAGTATGTATGGAAGTATGAGCACTGAACAGACATACGGACATTTGGCAGTAAATTGTAGGCATTTAACGGAGCTCATTCAGCATTAAATAGATCTATTTTAAGAAATCGCTTTAGCGATAAGATTAAAAATCGCAAATATGTACGTGGGTCAGCAGGGGTTAATAAATCTTAAATCTATTGAGTTTCGATGTCAGTTAATGAACTTAAAAAAAAAGGGCTAAATCATTTTGGCACGCGATTTCCGGGTTTCACTTTCACCTCCGGTGTATACCACAAATATTTATAATTCAGACAGCGCCTTTACGTACAATATACTATATTTAATTCAAGGAAACCTGTGTTACAATTAGCCAAGAAAAAAACCTTCACAACGCATTCCAAAAATCTTGCTACCTCGAAATATATTTTTGCGATAAGCTAAAACTGAACCACAGTCCACATAACGATCAAAGCGAAGAAAATCAAAATTATGATTTAAATAAACCACATATCTTAGTTATTTTATTCCAGTTGTATTTTTAATATTACTAAAACGTCTGCAAAATTTTCATTCTTTCAGGACATGATGGCCTCAAGTGATAAAAGCAGCTTTAAAGGATTTCGCAAGCAATTTAGTGGACGGTTTAAGCGCTTAGTTACTCGAAAAGTGGAACACACTCCAGTGATACCTCCAGAATTGAAGCCGCAACTAAAAACCATATACGTTTACTAACTTAAGATGTAACGACAATTGCAAGCACAAGTGTTTTCCCCATTATATAAGGAACACCCACCGCTGTGTGCTTATATATATGGCAGGAAACATTAGTGATAGGAAAAGCAAGATAAACTAAGTTATCATAATACCATTCTGGTTGACAATTTTAAGTATTCAGCGATTCGTGCGTATTGTTAGGCTCAATAAAAAAGAACATTTCATAAGACATACAAGATTTTAATGAATTTGGCACGGAACTTATGGGGCTTACAAAAAACATCATATTGAAAGCAATTTCGAAACAAATAATTGCTTAGATATTTAAATAATTAATTTAATAATTCATTTATGTATTTTAATTATTAAACTGTACGAAACGAATGGATTAATTTGGAATGTTAAATTGTATTGATTGCTAGTCGTTGCAAAACTCATTCGTTTTCCAAGAATTTAGATACAGGATGAATGTGCTAAGCCGTCGACATTTTATTTATCCACCTTTGTTGCAACTTGGGTTGGGCCTTAGCATTACTAATCAGTCAATCAACGAGCAATACAATGCTCGGGAAAACCAATGTTAAACTCAATAGATGAACGGTGCAAGCCCAGGCTAACAAAGAACTTTCTGCCATCATGCCAAAAGAGCGTAGCCACTAAAAAATGTACTACGATAAGATTAAGTTAAACAAAGTGGATATGCCACGTCGAGCGATGGCCCCGGAATGTGTATTTTGGACAAAGTTTTGGTCACTTAATAGAAGTCTTTGCCTGAGAGCGAATTTTAAGCTTCTAGGGAATACCAAAAGGTAAGTTCCAAAGTAAGAAGAACAATAAATAAGATAAGCTCTTATCTAACAAATAATTTATAAAATAAAATGATAATTTTGCATGTGAAAGTGTATTTCGGACATAGTTTTGACTAATTAGTATGAGTTCCTATGTTAAAGCAGCTTCTCAAGCTTTGTGGTATAAAAATAACCGAGTGACAAAAGCTTTATAAGGTAAGCTCAGCCGAATGAAGCATTTTACTTATTTCTCGACAAGTGTTTTGGACATAGTTATGGCTACTAGGTACTAGTCCCTATCTTAAAACGGCTTTTCAACCTTTGTGGTAAAATAGAAATCAATTGAGGAAATATGTATAGGGGGAGTTTTTTCGCAAAAAGCCCTATACTTTTACATATTTGTTCCAAACTATCTGGTAATTAAATAAAATGCTTACTTTATTCCAATCTAAACGTACATATACACAGTCGCGTCTATATACACTTAGTCAAGTTCTCGTATATATAGTTGCATCGACCAGAAACGAGGCTATAGCAGTCATTATAAATCTACGTGAGTTCCTGGATGGCGCTGCCTGTGCTCTCTGATTTTCCTGTGCTGCCACCAGTACCAGTCTCTTTTGGGGGTCTATTGCTGGGCCCAGCTTCACTTTCGTCGTGGGTTTCGCTGTTGCTTGGATTTGGATTTGAATTTGGTTTGGGCACTACAGTCTCTGTTGACTTGGGGGATACCCCTGTTTGGGTTTGGGTGTTCCCAGAGGACTCCTCCTCGTCCGAACAGTCCACGCTGGAAACTGAGGGATTTCGTTCCTGTAAAATCATTTAAAGAGGATGAATGGTATGTAATCTTAATGAAGAAGACCTTATTAGTCTCACCATTCCTCTACGAGATAAGCGCTCGTACTTAATCATACGCTCCTCTCGCATTCGTGTCAATCGCATTAGCAGTGAATAGTGTTGCTCCACGCGATGCAAACATGTTTTGCATATGGTTTTTGGCAAGGGATCAGTCGGAGATATCTGGGGTGCAATGAATAAAGTTATGATAAATCAATAAATAACTTATTTGCTCGTTTTTGGATAAAACTATAGGGAGACTCCGTTGCAATGGCTGATTTTGGGTACACACAAGCCTATGGGCAACCCTATTCTTGCAGTCCGAGCTTTTCCATAATGTCCTCTACTAAGCAATACTCACTGTAATTGGTAGGTAATCGTTGATTTTCTCAACAAGACACAAACGCTGGCCATGATCACTATAAATATGGATTACTGTTCGGTGCATCTCGGAACAGAGTCGGCACAGAAAGCCAGATATACACGCCTTTTCAATGCTCCCCATCTCGACCGATTTGTATAGATGGTTATATCCTCAACTGCCAATGCAATGTCGGTTAATTCGAAGCCAACCAAAACAACTTTCCCAAAATATTGTATTAATACTTTTCAGATATGCGTTGTGTACATATGTTTCTACTAGAGCTGTCAAACTATCGATGGCACATTCGATGGTTGGAGCCGTGCATCGATGATTTGAAAACTATCGCGGTAATACCCACCACTAATTAAATTTAAAAACTCTATGCAGTTTCGTTAATATCCATTGTTTTTTTGTAATCGTTCTTGATCCAACAAATCTACACAACAATTTTTATTGAAAACCTTAAAACTTTAAATAAATCAACCACAACAAATTGTAATCCATAGAAAAATAATAATAGAAAGTAAAGTATCATCTACAGATCTTGCGCTAAATAAAACTAAAAAAATATTTTCCCTTAAAAGAAATCAAATAAAATTTATTATTAATAAATTAATAAACCGAAACATGGGCAATGGTATCGAAATAAAAAGTAAATAAAACTGAAATATTGATGATGGTATAGAAACGCAAATAAAAGAACCAGAACTATAACAATTTTGAGTATATATATTTATGTTCCCTTTATTTTTAAGAGCTTTTTTAAAAACTAGTTACAGTTTATTTTTTAGTTTTCTCTCAACTTATTAACTAATGTACCCAAGAAAATCTTATCAAGATAAAAAACCTTGAAGCGTCTCGAACGATAATGAGGCGCTGTTCAAAGACTGAATGTTCTGCACAGCGAATCCTTTGAAATTCGTGCATTGATGAAAACCAGGATCCATCATGAGAAGCGATTGGGTTTTTTGGTTGGACAGGCCGAAGAAGACCTCTCCTTGGACATCAAATGGTATTTTCAACTTCACACTGGGTGATCTCTGAATTGAGTTCAAAAGATCCAAGTGACAGGTGTTGGCACTTTCGCCGAAGAACACTCCATCCAAATCATTGTCGGGTATTATTTGAAATTGGGGAATGCCGGCGTTATTCAAAATTTTACAGGTAAACACACACTTTTTACGAGGGTCCTTAGGATGGGCGTAAATCCGTGTGGCCACATAACCCACTGGATATATCCAACTCTCGGTGTGGAAATTGGAATTCACCGATACGATCTCACCCAGAGAGTGAAGTAATACATTATTCAGGTTCATGGGGAACATGGGCTTCTTTTTTCTTATAATGGTTACGTTTTTGGGTTTATCCTCGCCTGGCTTTTTATGCAAAACAACCGGTTTGCTTTTCCTCACGCCTCCAAAAGATGTTTCCGAAGATTCGACTTTTCCATTTGAAACACTGGGACGTCCATTATTTGATTTTTCCAAGCCCTCGTGGAACATAAGTCGCTCTATTAGATATAGACGTTGAGATCGGGTTACGGATAACTCGGCTTGAAGGCGACAAATTTCATCGGTGAGCGAAGCGTTCTCCTAAAACGAGGTTTTAAAAGTAAACAATAGTAAGAATTATGTATATATTGGAATCTGAAGTTCTCCACCAAAACACTAAACGAATCCAAATAAACACATGTTTAGAGAATTTCAGCATCTTACCAGCAGATAACTCTTTACAGATCGTTTTAAGCTCTCGTACCGCCGCTTATATTTCAAATTCATGATTTTTTAATTTATAAACTTAGCAAAAACCAAAGATAGCAGTTTTTTATTGTTGTGGGGTTTGTTTTGATTATCGAAGTGCAGGGTTGCTATTTGTAGGATATCGAAATTGCGGTATTCGGTAGTTCTTTGAGAAGGTATTTGAAATACCAAATAAATAAACAAATCTAAGCTAATCTTTTTAACAACTATAAATAAAAATAAAAAATTAAATTAAAGTAATAGTGTCGTTTAATGAGTGTGCTTTTAAGCTATGAGTTCGATTAGTTAAAGGGCTTAACATTCCGTATTGCCTATCCTATCTAATGAATACCCACATTTTAACCTTGTAAAGGACTTAGTAATGTTAAAGAAGAGTTATTTCTGGCAGTGATAAAAGCTTTTTAAGGTAAGCTCAGCCGAAAGAAGCCTTTTACTTATTTAACGCCAAGTTAGCTGTATGTGTTTTGGACGTAGTTTTGGCTACTAGGTACTAGTCCCTATCCTAAAACGGCTTTTCAACCTTTGTGGTAAAATAGAAATCAACTGAAGAAATTTTTATGAGGGGAGTTTTTTTGCAAGAAGCCTTGCGCTTATACATCTGTGTTCCAAAATAACCGGTAATTAAATAAAATGCTTATTTTATTCCAATCTAAACGTACATATACACAGTCGCGTCTATATACACATATTCAAGTGCTCGTATATATAGATGCATCGACCAGAAACGAGGCTATAGCAGTCATTATAAATCTACGTGAGTTCCTGGATGGCGTTGCCTGAGCTTGCTGATTTTCCTGTGCTGCCACCAGTACCAGTCTCTTTTGGGGGTCTATTGCTGGGCCCAGCTTCACTTTCGTCGTGGATTTCGCTGTTGCTTGGATTTGGATTTGAATTTGGTTTGGGCACTACAGTCTCTGTTGACTTGGGGGATACCCCTGTTTGGGTTTGGGTGTTCCCAGAGGACTCCTCCTCGTCCGAACAGTCCACGCTGGAAACTGAGGGATTTCGTTCCTGTAAAATCATTTAAAGAGGATGGATGGTATGTAATCTTAATGAAGAAGACATTATTAATCTCACCATTCCTCTACGAGATAAGCGCTCGTACTTAATCATACGCTCCGCCTGCATTCGTGCCAATCGCATTATCAGTGAATAGTGTTGCTCCACGCGATGCAAACATGTTTTGCATATGGTTTTTGGCAAGGGATCAGTCGGAGATATCTGGGGTGTAATGAATAAAGTTATGATAAATCAATAAATAACTTATTTGCTCGTTTTTGGATAAAACTATAGGGAGACTCCGTTGGAATGGCTGATTTTGGGTACACACAAGCCTATGGGCAACCCTATTCTTGCAGTCCGAGCTTTTCCATAATGTCCTCTACTAAGCAATACTCACTGTAATTGGTAGGTAATCGTTGATTTTCTCAACAAGACACAAACGCTGGCCATGATCACTATAAATATGGATTACTGTTCGGTGCATCTCGGAACAGAGTCGGCACAGAAAGCCAGATATACACGCCTTTTCAATGCTCCCCATATCGACCGATTTGTATAGATGGTTATATCCTCAACTGCCAATGCAATGTCGGTTAATTCGAAGCCAACCAAAACAACTTTCCCAAAATATTGTATTAATACTTTTCAGATATGCGTTGTGTACATATGTATGTTTCTACTAGAGCTGTCAAACTATCGATGGCACATTCGATGGTTGGAGCCGTGCATCGATGATTTGAAAACTATCGCGGTAATACCCACCCACCACTAATTTCATTTAAAAACTCTATGCAGTTTCGTTAATATCCATTGTTTTTTTGTAATCGTTCTTGATCCAACAAATCTACACAACAATTTTTATTGAAAACCTAAAAACTTTAAATACGAATACTGGGCTCTGGTTCTTGTACTAAAAAATCAACCACAACAAATTGTAATATAAAAAATTAATAATGAAAAGTAAAGTATCTTCTATAGATCTTGTGCTAAATAAAACTAAAAAAATATTTTCCCTTAAAAGAAACCAAATAAAATTTATTATTAATAAATTAATAAACCGAAACATGGGCAATGGTATCGAAATAAAAAGTAAATAAAACTGAAATATTGATGATGGTATAGAAACGCAAATAAAAGAACCAGAACTATAACAGTTTTGAGTATATATATTTATGTTCCCTTTATTTTTAAGAGCTTTTTTAAAAACTAGTTACAGTTTACTTTTTAGTTTTCTCTCAACTTATTAACTAATGTACCCAAGAAAATCTTATCAAGATAAAAAACCTTGAAGCGTCTCGAACGATAATGAGGCGCTGTTCAAAGACTGAATGTTCTGCACAGCGAATCCTTTGAAATTCGTGCATTGATGAAAACCAGGATCCATCATGAGAAGCGATTGGGTTTTTTGGTTGGACAGGCCGAAGAAGACCTCTCCTTGGACATCAAATGGTATTTTCAACTTCACACTGGGTGATCTCTGAATTGAGTTCAAAAGATCCAAGTGACAGGTGTTGGCACTTTCCCACAAGAACACTCCATCCAAATCGTTGTCGGGTATTATTTGAAATTGGGGAATACCGGCGTTATTCAAAATTTTACAGGTGAACACACACTTTTTACGAGGGTCTTTAGGATGGGCGGGGATTTTTGGGTTTATCCTCGCCTGGCTTTTTATGCAAAACAACCGGTTTGATTTTCTTCACGCCTCCAAAAGATGCGAGGATTCGACTTTTCCATTTGAAACACTTGGACGTCCATTATTTGATTTTTCTAAGCCCTCATGGAACATATGTAAGTCGCTCTATTAGATATAGACGTTGAGATCGGGTTACGGATAACTCGGCTTGAAGGCGAAAAATTTCATCGGTGAGCGAAGCGTTTTCCTAAAACCAGGTTTCATAAGTTAATAATAGTAATAATTATATATTGGAATCTGAAGTTCTCCACCAAACACGAAACGATTCCAAATACACACTTGTTTAGAGAATTTCAGCATTTTACCAGCAGATAACTCTTTACAGATCGTTTTAAGCTCTCGTACGGCCGCTTATATTTCAAATTCATGATTTTTTAATTTATAAACTTAGCAAAAACCAAAGATAGCAGTTTTTTATTGTTGTGGGGTTTGTTTTGATTATCGAAGTGCAGGGTTGCTATTTGTAGGATATCGAAATTGCGATATTCGGTAGTTTTTTGAGAAGATATTTAAATACCAAATAAATAAACAAATCTAATCTAATCTTTTTAACAACTATAAATAGAAATAAAAAATTAAATTAAGGTAATAGTGTCGTTTAATGAGTGTGCTTTTAAGCTATGAGTTCGATTAGTTAAAGGGCTTAACATTCCGTATAGCCTAATCCTATCTAATGAATACCCACATTTTAACCTTGTAAAGGACCTAGTAATGTTGAAGAAGAGTTATTTCTGGCGGTCGGAAGCTAGGATTTTCGAGAAATTAAGGTAGGTTATTAATTAATAACAAGTTATAAAGGGGGGAAGCTTTGGTCTCTAACAAAGTCTTAAAATGGGCAGTTGACCATGAAAGAGTCTCAGTCTGCAAGGTGGTTACAACACTAACACTTAGCCCTACCTTATTTACATGCAGGTGTGTGTGTTTGTGGCATTACTACCATTAGTAGTTTTCAGGGGTTACCTCTTTGTTCTTAATGATCTTAAAATTTGAAAGATTCTAAGATTATAAACAGAGTATCTAGAAAAAACACAGCGATCACCATGGTAACCAGTGTTCAGCTGTGTTTCTACTTTTCCCCATTCCGTCCCTTTACTTTCCCCCAAATCATAAGGTCTACAAATATTCATACCTAATTATAATGTGTGATAGTGTACGGAAGAGTGTGTGAAATACTACTGAGAAAAATCTACGTCGGAGAGCAGCTTTAAAAAAAGCTATGGGAATGAATCACATCGTTTGTTCGGTGCAAATAAGCCGTTAGTATGTTTTTGCACTCCGGTGACACTTGTTGGATTCTGTGCTCCCCTAAAATATAATACAATAAATACAATACAATCTTTAAAATGGACGAGGAACAAATGTGGAAGGGGTTCTTTTTCAAACTGCAGGAACTCAAGATGAATCCACCCACAGAACACGAACACCAGTAAGTTGGGTAAACAAATGAATCCATAAATTCAGACTCACACGCACACCTGTAGAAAAAAACTCAAAATTCACAGATGTATAGATATCGCAGGCATGTGTGCTGTTTCATTAGACAAATATGAACATTTTAGAGAAACTGGAACTGTGTCATCAGATAAATTAAAGATTATCATGTGGACCTATAATAATGTGTGCGTGAGACATCAAAAAGTGATGTAAGGAAACTCAAACCACAGATCGATTTTACAACCCACACTCTCGCTAATGTAAACATGACTCAATTTCAGGGAACTTTTCACTCCTCTTTAAATATATTCCATAATGTACTTTACTTTTCTGAATATTCATTATAATAATTATGACTAGCTTTTCTAATTAAAATTGTATGAAAGCATTTATTAATAGTCTCTTTTTTCCTTCAGATTACAAGATGGTGATGATGGATTCTTCGAAAAATTTGGATCCCTCTTGCGGCAAAAGTCACAAATAGATGAGAGTGTTTTGAAAAGTTCTTTAGCTCCTTTTGAGGAAAGTGGCAGTGGAGAGACAGAAGAATCCGACGAAAGTCCTGATGGAACCTCACAACTTGGCCAGGATCCGGAATGCATCAGCATCAATACCTTTGCGACAGATAGTGAACTGGCCTCGTCTCCTGAAATTGATAACTTTCTTGACACAACTCCTGTAATGAATGTAAGTTAACATTTAGAAACTGCGAACTGAGCTGACTAAGCACTTTGAAAAGCGAGTTAAGGTCAGTTGGGATCGTTATGATAAACGATCAACTATTTGTATTATAGATTATTATATATTCCAACTGGTACATCTAGATTCTACATCTAGATTTTCTATACATCTAGGTTATCCACATTATCTAAAGCTGTCTTAGAGCATTACATACCATTTCGATCGTGTCGATCTTTTCAGGGAATTTGTGTAAAAACTTTTTCTGT